TGTGGATATCATCTTTAAAACAAAAATTTAACAATAGCGACACATTTCATTATAAATTTAACATATTTTTACTGGAAAATACATGCACGCACAGCTTAGAAAAACATTCGTTTCACTGCCGTAATGCAATGTGTTACGTAATGCGTTACGTTTCAAACAATGGCTCGCTCGGAAAGGATTCATAAGTCATCTACCCGATGAATTAACAGCTATCATATCATAAATGGAGCACTTCAAATCTTTTCAACTTAAGGAAAAATGTTTATTTTCATTTTTGTACAAGTTAAATGAATTAGAAATATCTATCTAGCTACATCGTGCAAGCATCGTCCTTAGTTATCTAAAGCAGAGATAAATAGATCTTTTAAGTCCTGTATCTAAACCGCAACTTCTCGTTTTTCTCTGGCGTCCCATGACGTCAGTCTCTATCTGATCTTTGATTCGTTGGCGTAGTGATGCCATTCCCAAGATCGTCCCTCCTTTTGAGTTGCTGGATATCTACTCAAAACATTCAAATCTTTCAAGTTCAATCTTAGTAGCATCTTAACAGTTCTACCAGCTCGTGTCTTTATAGTCTTAGAACTGTCACATACATCGGAAACATCAGTGGGGTCCGGAGACCGGGGTGGATCTGAAAAGAAAGGGAAAAAACAAACAAATAGAGAAAGTGAAAAAAGTCAATGTCCAGGTGGCGAATGTTAGCTTTATGCACCACCAGTTCATCTGATCAGCAGAAGTTGACAAGATAATGGAGCCTTCATGGCGTATCTTTCGTACTTCGTAACAATCAGAGGAGAGGGATGAACTTTCGTTGTCTCATAAGGACCGAAGAATTTGGGACGAAATCTAAGTCCAAGTTTCAGTCAAAGTCCAAGTTGGATTGGCATTTGGTCTCCAACTTTGTATTTGCAGGCTCTTTTTTGGCGTGAAGCGGTTAAAGAATATGAAACAGTAATTTTTCTTCCAGATATTTCATTCTTTGTTGTCTCAAAAGCTTCAACTGCATCTTTTTCCTATATGTAACTGGGGCCCACCAGCGGCCGAGCGGTAAAGTCGCTGAACACTGGTAGTTCGGTCCGAGGTTCGAATCCCCGCGAACGGGCTGGCTGCATGGGCGTTTTCGTGGTTTTCCCCATGTGTAACGTGTATACGAGCCAGTTTCCCTTAGAAAGTCCTCCACGAAAGGCATCCCTCCCCTTAGGCAGATAGCCCTAGTGTGCTTTGCCATAATTAAATACACCAACACCAACCTATATGTAACTGATAGTAGCATTTGGATGTACAGGTGATAAATTCAGAGTTATCTGAGGTGCTTTTGGAAAAAGTTCGACAATTTGAGAAACCGTAGTGTCAGCTGGAATGTCAAAAATAAGTATTTTCCATGAATTATGCTTCTGTTCTTTGGGAGTTTCTGCACTTTTAGCAGGTGTTTTCTCGTTTGCTTGAGCAGCACATCCTTGTTCAAATTTATTCAGTTGATTTTGCATAGTTTCTTCATTATTCTTCACGATTGGATCATTTATCGACATCATTTATTTATTAGCTTCATGACTGCCATCATCATCATCGTTGTCGTTGGCTTCATCATTAACATCAACATCATCTTTATGAGGTAAAAAATGCCCCGTGTCAATATTATCAGTTACCTTTTCTATTATATTCAATTTTTCTCATTCCCAGAAAATCGTAGTATATTCTTCTAAAAATGCTTTATCTTGTGCTCGCTGTCACATCCTTTTATGCCGCTTCGAGGTTAAATCCTTATTTGCTAGCAAATCGGTCATATCAAATTAAAAAGGTAAACAAAATTCATATCTACCGTCCGAAAGAATTTTCACATTATTTTTAAACTTTTCCAAAACTCCAGAATGTTTAAATTCTTTTTATTATTTTCAATGGGATCTGGAATACCTATGGATTCTAAAGACGATAAATCTTTTATCGAATAAATACTATCATACAACGAAATTATATTCAAAACTGTATCATCATTGCTATCTGCAAATGACTCATGCTTCCCAGTTAACACATGTCCCACACAAGTCTCAATCAAAAATAATCCTGACTACAACCGAACATATTTATCGCTAAATAAAGCGCCGGCAATATTCGCTCCCAAAAGCAGATCGATCTCACGATCAGAAGAAACCAAATCAGTCAAACTGACGCCTCTACTTTTCAATTCATTAAGAATTTTACAATCGTTCACTTTTGGCACTGTGCCAGAAATTTTGCTCCCTGATAGTGCTTCGATTTGAAAAGAGAAAGATTCATGTATTGCCGAAATGTGCAAATTATAAACATCGTGAATCTGCGCTTGCGTTTCTCCCCCCCCGAATAACGAATGCTTCAATTTAATTTGCCTTGGTGGTTTTAAGTGTAAATTCTCTACTAATGTTTTACTGACATATGAATGCTGAGAAGCTGTATCCAATATTGCGCGTACTTAAAGCTCAATAGTCTTAAATTTAATTTTAACTATTAGAGTCATTAAATAAACATTTTCTATTCCACAGTTATTAGTTAATGTACTGGTTTCAGTTACGTCACTGAAACTTTTCATTTGCGAATGTACTTTTCATTTGCGCTTCTTTCTTGGCGATTGGGACACATTAAAGAATGAAGATTTTTATTACAGTACATGTAGGAACTTTTTACTCGACATGTTTTACAAGTGTGTCACAATCTGAAACATCCAAAACAGGCCCCTTTTTTAATTAATATATTTTCTTAGCTTCTAATGTCTTATTTCTAGCAGAAAAGCATTCTTTAGTTGGGTGCCGTTTTTCACGAAGAGACAGTTAAAATTGCGCTTACCTGGGCTCTCAGAATTTGATGTACTTACTAGTGCAGCTGCGGTGGCGGATTCTATATTTTTATTTAGTGTATCCTTTTTGTTAAAAATATGATTTGAACCAAACCCAGTGAGGGCTAACACGACCCTTTCTTCTCCTTTCACTTCCTGTTTCAGGAAATTCATCAAATTTTCAAGGCAGCGGTCATCAAGTTGAGGTGCTTCTTTTAAATTTCTGTTTCTCTCCCAAGCAATTAATACTTCTTCGGGGAGGCAGGATTCAACTAAAGGCGTTAAGAAATTACCATACTTCTCTTACGTTCTTCCAAGACTTTCTAAAGCCTTAATCTTGATCTTTAGGCGTCCGCCAGCCCGAATCCGTGATATTGCCATGCAACGAATCCGCGATTTTATCTCCGTAGCGGATTAGGATTAGAAAATGACTGGAATAGAAGGAGGGAGGGTTCTCAGTTTCCCCAACTATCAGCGAATGAAACCCTACCTAGCAAGCAGCGTCCCTTTTTGTTCTCTCAATACATTGTGCTAGGAATGGCGTCACTACGCCAGCGAATCAAAGGCCAGACAGAGACTGACGTCATAGGAAACCAGAGAAAAACGAGAAGTGTCTGTTTAGATAGCTAAGGACGATGCTTGTACGATGTAGCTATATAGATATTTCTTATTCATTTAACTTGTACAAAAGTGTTAATAAACCTTTTTCATTAAGTTGAAAAGATTTGAAGTACTCCATTTATGATAAGATAGCTGTTAATTCATCGAGTATGACTTATGAATCCTTTCTGAGCTAGCCATTGTTAGAAACGTAACGCATTCCGTAACATAACTGAACAGAAATGTCTAAGAACTTCCTTTACCACATGTGCAAACAAAATTGATGCAGAACTGAAATCAGATATTCACGATATGAAGCTACTTTCGGTTCTGGAACTACAGCTTAAAAGACAAATTTAATCGACTCGAAATTTGCCAAAATTAAGTAATGTCGATAATTCCTCAATCTAAAGATGCTGAAAGGCTATATAAAGAAGATTTTATTTCGTCTGAGCCTTCTAGCGATAAATATTTTGAACAGTGTTCTCAAATCGAAAAAGCTGTTGAAGAATCCTTTACCGACTGAATTACCAGAGAAGCGCAAATTTAAACTGCCGAAGATCAAACTAAAGAAATTCAACGGCGAAGCAAAAGAATTTTTGACGTTTTAGAGCCAGTATTTGAAGATCCGGCGATTTCAGCTGAAGATAAATTCCAGTAACTTCTGCAAACAGTTGTTTCTCAGTCCAGAGCTGCACGGGTAGGGAAGAGCTGTCCAGCAACGGCGTCGAATTATCTGAAAGCAATCGCTCAGCTTCGAGAGAGGTTTGGAAGAGAAAACTTACTTGTACAGATATACGTAAGAGATCTTCTAAGCATGTTTATGCGTAATGCAAGCAATGGACGTGTAAAGACGGATCTTCCCACTATCTACGATGATTTAGAAACCAAGGGCTAGCAGTCGGTCTCCGAGCCAGCAGTTGCAGTGGCGTAGCGAGGGGGAAAACTGGGTTATGATGCCCCGGGCGCCGCTCGCAGAGGGGCGCCAAATGGTCTCCAAATACAATTTTCATCATATCACTGTGTTTTTTACGGGGGGGGGCGCCAGAAAGGTATTTTGCCGGGCGCCAGTTATGCTCGCTACTCCACTGAGCAGTTGAACACTTTAAAACATATTAAGTAAAATGCTAATTTCGGACAGAAATTCTTCCATTGAAGTATGTTTATTAAGGCCAACTGCCTTTTAAAGCTTTTCTATTAAAATTACCTTTTTAGCCAACAGAGGCAAACTTATATTTGAAGTTTGAACTTTAACTAAAGAACTGGTAAGGCACTGTACGCTACGGTCATTGAAGTGCATCAAGTGGAAGGTTTTTAAATTAAATAATTATTCTTTGAGATCATACATATTACAAGTTAAATGCATTTATTTAAAAAAGCATTTAACTTGTAAAATTTTTAAATCTGCGTAATTTCACCACTTTATTTCATATTGATTTTCAAACATAGAGGAAATATCTTGCATTACGTTAATTCTATTATCAGACGTTAATAACCCTGAAACGTAACATTAAATTTTACATTCTTCTAAAAAATCATTCGATCTTGGGAGTAGGAGATTATTTCAACATCAATGCGTACTTTGTAGTAAATGAATTGAAGTGGCAACACGTTTCTTGACAGATGTGTCTTCTTTCGTGAGGGAATAAAATCCATTATTGCATCAAAACATAAAAGCTTAAAAAGTTGTATGCTAAAACTGAAAGGAAAGAAATGGCAGATGTGGAAAGGAGTAAGTTTTATGTTTTTTGCACTTTTTAATCCTCTCTCAAGAACGAAGTAATGTACGTCACCAATCGATTACAAATTATCGTTAAAGGGTGAACGATCTCTCTTGAAAGCAATCAATAACTAATAATGAAAAAAAAAAAGTTTCAGATTTATTTATTAATTTTAATATGCATTATTGTTACCAGAAATTCTTATTAAAATAATGCTTACGTGTTTCGCTGTGTGTTTCTTCATTGTGAGTTTCCAGATCAAATGTTAACCTCTTGATTACAGGTTGATGCCCTTTGTACGGATAAGCAGAGATAATGGCAATCGTTGTTTTGATGGCTCTTGTTTAACTTCATATCGTCGATAATAATCTTATAGTGACGGTGTTTTCGAATCCTATACTACAAATTAAAAAAGTAAATGTTAATTTATATATGCTAATTTTTCTTAGTATTTCTTTCATAGCCAACAATGTGATGATGGGTACAGTATCACTTGGAATGTTCATGGGACACGTACAATTGATTTTTATGAAATAAGGATAATTTTTATAAGTGGTTTACCTGTTTATCTATTAGCTTTCAATGCTTTTACATTTTAAAATAGTTTTGTATTCTTTATTATAGAGAATGATGTGTAAGTAAATTTATTAAAAAAATTAAATAGCTTTATAATTTAAAAAAAAATATGAAGAACAGGAAAAGGCTTATTTTCTTATTTTATGTTACTAAACTGTATTGTAATATTCTTTTTTCTATTCTGATGATATAATATTAAGTAGATTTAAAAATTTTTATTTGCTAACAATACTTATTTGTGATATCATTTATTCAATAACCACATTATTTTTAAATAATTTCTAAAAGAAATGGTTTCTCTTCTTGTTTGTAATTAATTATACTATATGCCATCAGAATGCATATTGAGAGAACATTGGTGAAATCAAGCAATATATTAAAGCTAAACATTTTATGTTGTGTTAATTATTGTTATTTTGAATGATTTATGATGTTATTGTTAAAAGATGCTCATGCTGGAAATTTTTCAAAATGCATAAATTTACTCTGCACATGAATTTTATATGAAGTACCTACTGTAAAAGTTTTGTTTACTCGGAGTAATTACAAAGTCCTTTAGAAAATCAAGTTAAACTTCAGATTATGGTTATTCTGCTCAAATATGATGTAAAATGATCATCTGCGATTTTTTCCTCATTAAAATTAAAATAATTATTTGATCATTGTTCTTTAGTTGCAAGTTTCATAAAAAAAGAAAAAAAAAAAATAAGAAACTACTGATCAGAACAAATAATTAGAAAGCATTTGTTTGTTTGACCCATAAATTTAGACTAAAACATTGGTAATGGATTAGGGAAAATGTGTTATATCATTAGTAGGTTGAAGAGTGATGGATGTTTGTGACACTACCATGAAATACTTGAAAATTCAAATTAGCCAGTGCATGCAGATACAATGCCAACTTTTTCTTGCAAGCATTGGCCCACTAGCAGTCAAGTGATAAAAGGTGCTGAACACTGTTAGTGTTTCCTGTTCAAATCTCAGCAGACAGACTGGTTGCTTAGGCATTGTTTTGAACTTCCTTATGTGTAATATAAATGCAAGCCAGTATAGAAAGTCCTTTATGAAGGCATCCCTCCCCTTAGATAGATTGCCTTTATATACTTTGTCATAATCAAATAAAACAAACACCATCCTGCAAGCAGGACAGGACAGGAAAAAGTGCAGGGGGCACCACAACATCGTCATAGACAAAAAAATAAGTCCTAGAAACTGTTTCGGATTTTTCTTAAAAAAAACTAAATTTCTTATATCATCTTTTTTTTTTTATTTTATTTTATAGGCGGTCAGCCATTAATGATCAAATTTGCCTGCATTTATTGCCAAACAATTAAAAAACCTAAAACCATAATCAGTACCAAGTAATGAGAATTGTGAAATTGTTTTTTTCATTCATATGAAATCCTTCCCTCCTCCCAGGACTTAAAATGATGATGATTTTTTTTATTTACCATCTAGTGAAGATAAAATTATTGGATTCTTCCAAGAAAGAAGTAATTTACTGTTACACTACTCTTCTGTTATTGGGACTGGATTCAAAAATGCAATGTATGTATGTTCATGCATGCATACATAATATATATATATATATATATGTATGTACATTTGTTTGTGTACACACACTCATACATGAACACATCCCTCCATGTACGTGCATACATACCTAAATATCTGAATTTGGACCCAATAACCAAAGAGTTACTTTCTCAAGTGAAAGTTGAAAAATTTTGACAGCCTTTTTTTGTCATTTCAAGTTTACCAAATTATTGATATTTGTTGTAGTTGACAAACATTATCAGTTATCTGAAGAAAACTCACTTTAGCAATTTTTGTTTGTTTTCTGTTCATGTTCATAGGGATTTATTTTTAAGACAATGTCGGAGAATTCCTCTGACTCTGCATTGTGTCCCGGCTGTCTACTAAATACATCTCATCATTACATATAAGACATTCAACCTTATATGCAGTTTAATCCATTCTCATGCACTAATCTAACATAGATATTTTCAAAGATGCAGTTTTAAAAGTTACGAATAGAATTCAAAATCAGATAATACATGACCAAGACAGAAATATTCAACAATTTCATTACCAGGTTACCAGATTACAATCATTATCTAATAATGATATTGCCAAATTTAATGTATATCCAATATTAAAAATTTTGACAGCCTTTTTTTGTCATTTCAAGTTTACCAAATTATTGATATTTGTTGTAGTTGACAAACATTATCAGTGTAAGTATTTTATCTCTGCCTGAATTTGCAAAAATGGGCATGAAATTAAGTTATATACCACTGCAGAAGCTGTATGTACTTTTGTATTAGCAATTGGTTAGCTGCTTCAAAAACCAGGTTCCTTACTGTGGTAATATTTATATATATGCACACCACGTACTGTTGGTAAGAGCTTTATATCTACTTGAAAATAAATTACAATTTTTTATGACTTAGAAGAGGAATATATGCCTGTTGTATTTAAAATGCATAGTTTTACTACAGTGTTTGTGTCTATCTAAAGGTAAATTGTGTCTTAAATTTAAATTTCAATTGTGATATTAGTATCTCTATAATTCTGTTAAATTAAATAAAATTTAACAATTAATACTGAATAAAATTAAATAATAATACTGAAATAAAATGGGTTACATTATTATGTAGTTGTGTTGTATAATGCACGTAATCTTGTAACTTTTAAATTTGAATATAAAACTTCACTTTTGGCTAGAATTTTTGGTTGATCTTTGGATTATGGTAACTTGGCGAAAATTTGGTGACCAACTCTGCTACAGCAACCCTCTATTTTTTTTTCGCCGCCATTTTGTCTTCACGAAGTAAAGACATGTTTCTTTTCTTTTTATTTACTGAACACTTTTTCCAACAATCTACTAGCCGAATTACACTTATGCTAGAAATTTTATGTAACAAAACTGCTTAATCATGACAAATATTAACTGCAAAATTGGGGAAAAGTGCACAATCGCAAACTCCTTGCAAGTTTTTCAGAATAGCACATACACATAAACCATTTACACGTTGACTTATTTTTACTTAAAAAAGCATTCCAGAATTGCACAAAAATGGCATTGCACATACTCTTAACTTTATCCATCTACACTGCTATTTTCTCATAAATTACAAAAATTTGCACGAAAATGCAAAAAACTTCTGTGAATCCTTAAACTCTGTGAAAAGCACATATATGAAATTACTTGATCGTGAAAAAGTATATACCCTTTCCAAGGATGAACATTTCCACGTATAAAATAAATAAAATATCCAAAAACTTTTACCTCTAAATTATCTATTATATTATAAACGTCACCAACGAATTCATACTGCAAACATTACAAATGGTTACAAATACTTAGTGTCAAATATTTAAATTATTTCCATGCACTTCCACTGAAACGTATACCAAATTCCTACAAACATAAAATTCACAAAATAACTATCATTTAATTAAAATATCACTAAACCATGTACACGTCGACTTATTTTTACTTAAAAAAAATCCCAGAATTGCACAAAAATGGCATTGCACACACTCTTCACTATATCCATGTATGCTACTTTTTTCTCATAAATTAGAAAAATGTCACGAAAATGCATGAAAATTTTGTGAATCTTTAAATCCGGTAAAAAGAACATATATGAAATTACCTGATCGCGAAAAAGTATATACCCTTTTGAAAGATGAACATTTCCACGTATAAAATAAATAAAATATCCCAAAACTTTTACCTCTAAATTATCTATTCTATTATAAACGTCACCAAGGAATTCATACCTCAAACATTACAAATGGTTACAAATATTGGGTTCAGAAAGTATGTCGTTTTTTTTTGGGGGGGGGGGGCACATGAAGACAATTTTCGATAATGAATAAATATTTTATTAAATTATATATTGGCCATCTGGTCCAACACCTTTTGCCATCTTTTTGGCAGTAACATGATTCCCCACTCATAAAAAGTTTTGGTCCTTGCTGGCAAAAAAACTGATTCAGGTGGTTTTTGACCTCTTCATTGAGGTAAAGGTTTACCATCCAAAAATTTTGCAGGGACCGGAACAAACAAAAAAATAATACGGAAGGCGCCAGATCTGGAGAATATGGTGGGTTGCTGCAGTATGTCCCATTCAAGCTGTAAAAGCTTTTGGCGAGTGACCAAACTTGTATGAGGTCTCGCATTATCCTGGTGGAACACTACACCCTTCCTGTTGGTTAATTCTGGCCTCTTCTGTTTAAGTGCATCATTCAATTTGTCCAGCTGATGACAATAGACTTCCGAATTTGGTATGTCGGTAAAAGCTCAAAAAAAAAAAAAAAAAAGATCCTTTGAATCCCACAAACGGACAGCCATCACTTTTTTTTGGGAATGTTGGCTTTGAAACGCTTTGAGAGGTTCATCTTTTCTGCCCATGACCTCTTGCGTTTCACTTGTTGTATGCGACCCATTTTCGTCCCCAGTAAATCGGCTTCAAAAAGGATCATTTTCCTGACGTTTTGAGGAGCGAATCACACAAAATTCTCCCGTAAGAACATGGGGCACCCACACATCGAGCTCGAGGTTAAGCCAGGCCTTTCAAAGTGGCCATAAACAGTCGAATTCGACAAATTTAACCTCTCACCGATCTCTCGTGTGGTTATTCGCCGATTTGCATCAACTAATGCCTTTATCGCATCTTTGTCAGCTTCGACCGGCCTTCCAGACCATGGTGCATCTTCGACATCAAAACTGCAGGATTGAAACTTTGCAAACCAGTTCTGGCACTGGCGTACTGTTAACACGCCTTCTCCATACACATCCGTCAATTTTTTTCTCGCTTGGACAGCATTTTTACCTTTTCTGAAGTAAAAAAGTAAAATATGACGAAAATGCTGCTTATTGCTCTCCTATTTAAAAGGGCACCAACCAAAAAAACTACTGCGTAGAATTAATAGAACTTTTCACACACAAGCCTTGTAATATCAGCTCTCAAGACATATAATGGTTTTAGCGGCTTAAGGTGAAGTGGTTTCGAAAAAATGTAATTAAGTCCTCTGACGGGGGAAAAACGAAATTACTTTCGAACAACCAATACTAGTGTCAAATATTTAAATATTCCATACACGTTTACTTCCACTGAAACATATACAAAATTCCTACAAACATATAATTCACAAAATAATTTTAATTAAAAATATAATTAAATTCAAACACACTGCTTAAAATAAATAAGCACATACATTAAATTAATAAAAATTAGAGCTACAATCCTAATACTTTAAACTAAATCATTGCTAATAACAATTTTCCAATACTACCATATTACTTTATTTACTCCTTATTTAGAACAATGCATAAAAATAATATCCTCAAATAATTAAAAATACTAACTTACCTAATCTTCTTCAGAGTCTTGATTATGTGGCCGATAAACTTTTCTTATTTCCTCCGCTAAATAAAAAGCAAGCGTATGTGCGCCTGTTTCAGGATCTTTAAAATCATACTTATAGTTCACAGCAAGGTACCAGGTAAAATAAATAACTTGATAAAACATCTTTACTTCTATCTCGCACAACCTTAAAAAAAACACTTATTACTACCCCTTTCAATCCCACTAAATACCCACTAATACTAATTAATACCACTAATACTAATACCCACTAATACCACTAAATACTAATTTCGAATTCACTTTAGTTAGGGCCATAGGATCCAAAAATTAACCAACACTGTTTCACACACAACAAATAAAGCTAAATACAAAATTTCAAGATTTCCCCCCTTTCCGATTAAAGAACTGTAATTCGTCCATTAATGTCACATGACATATCTCATGATCTCTCATTTCCCTCACACAAAATAATGCGTAATCGGAACTGAGTACTTCTCACATTATTACCAAAGTCCTAGGTAGTAACCTTTATTGCCTCCAAAATGTCACCAAACTACCAGTTACCATATTCCAAAGATCAGCCGAATTTTCACTTCAGATATTACTTTATACAGTACAAAGTCTAATCCAGACGCGTCGGGACTTCGGCGATTCCGGATTATAGATCATGAATTTAAATCTGGTAAGATGGCATGCAGAAATTATAAAATTAAAAATATGAAACTGTAGTTTATGAAATAAAGAGCAATTATGATCTAAAGGGTATCAAAATTTACAAAAAAAAAAAAGCTTAGTATTTATTTTTTTACTTTATTAAACATTTCTTTCAATGTAAGTTGTTTAAGTTGCTTCGTTTTATGTGCTAATACTTTCTCTTTAATTCTATAAACAGACATAATTTCTTGTTCAGTTAAGCAATTCCACTGTTCAAGTCCTGTAATTGCCGCCAAGAATACCGACTAACTTGTCAATCGAAATTTTTTCGTTTTCACTAACCTCTTTGTCACTTTCTTCATGCCTTTATCCATTTTTTTGCAGTAATTCCGCTTTTTGTTTGATGGGCATTGAAACAAGCTTTTGCTTTGTAGATCCTTTGGCAGCTCCACAATTGGAAACTCTTTTTGACATAATCGAAAGTTCAAGCTTACTTTTTATAAAATTGCTCTAACAGTCTGCAAAGCAAAAAATAATAAGCCGTATCCAATTAGAAGATTAAGGAACAACGCAATCGGCAACATTAACTGAAATAGATTATTAGATAATTTTAGCCTTAGCTTATACCTCCGTTATACATTAAACGCGCATGCGTAAAGGTATTATGCACATGCATAAAGGTATAATGCGCATGCGTAGATGCTACACATGTGCAGAAAGTTTGTAGCTTTGAGGTCTGGATTATAGATCATTCCGGATTAAAGACTTTGTACTGTATTATCTCTTAATGTATTCCCTCTTATAGCATGGTGGTCATGAACAATTATTTGAAACCATTTCTTTTTTTAATATAAATTCCATTTTCACACATTATTTCCTTGAAGTGTTTGATATTGGTATTTGAATATCTTTATTTTTCAAATTTTTGTAATCAAATTTCTAGATGAGTTCAACAAACCAAGAGCTATTCTATTTTTTTAATTCAGAATGCTATGAATAATTAGCAAGGAAACACATTTATAGATTTATTTAATACTCCCCCTTTCTGTAATAAGAATCTTTTTAACTCAGTTTAATATTACTAATAATTATATTTATGGATACATTAAATTTATTTATATATTTTGTTTTTTAACAGTGGCTGATTTTTCTGATGATGACTCTTCTGAATTTTTCCCTGGTAAGCATTCATTATATTAGTTTTATGTTCAAAATGTCATATGTTTTAATTATAATGTTGTTGATTCTGGATGAAAGTGTAAATTTATGTCTTATCGGTAATAAGAAAACACTACGTATGAATAATGTACATGAATTCAGTTCTGTATGCATAGTTTGTAATCAAACAATTCATACAAAATAAGTAATTACTTTACAAATATCTCTTTGCCTTAGAATTAAAAAAATAATATTGAAAATTACCATTTGTTATAAAACTTTACTTATTGCAACCTTAGCAAAAGTCGCCAGATTTTTAGAACGTGCCAACTTCAGCTGCCATGCATATTACTGTTTTCCAGTTTTTAACTAACAGTTTTTTTTTTCGGGGGGGGGGGGGGATATTATTTCAAGATCTCGTAGTCTATTTCAGGAGTTCCTAGCCCGGGGTGGGGTAATATGGTTGGCCTTTTATTTACCCGTTTAGTTTCAGCTTATGAATATAAAATTCTATTTTTATTCAAGTTTTCATATTTACCAACAGTTTCTTTACTTTTCTTGTTTAATCTACAAAATATATTAAAAATGGTATTAATTTAATTAAATGTATATGTATTTTGCAAGTTTTGGAACGGAGGGGGGGGGACTGATCATCTAACAGTGTAAAAGGGGTACATGGAGCAAAGAAGGTTGAGGACCCCTGGTTTGTATAGTCAAACTATGGTACTTTTTGTGTCAAACTCAGTTTTAAAATGCATTCTTGTGAGATTTGCCTGCAATAGAAGAAACTGTACCAGAATTTCTCAGAAATGCAATATTATGACTACATAGTAAAGTATTTTCTTAAAAAGTGCTCAGAATGGGGCATGGGTTAAGTAATTCTTTATTTATAGGCTCAGAAAATGTGTGGGGCATGGGTTAAGTAATTCTTTATTTATAAGCTCAGAAAAGGTGTACATAATGTGACAGTTTTTTTATTTTCAGGAAGTTATGCTTGAAAGTACACACTAATTATTACCATAATGCAAAATGAATTGTAATAAGAAAAAATGGTTAGTCTATATTTTAGGGCTCCCCTTGGATTATCGCCAAGTTGTTTCATTTATTGCCAAATTGTTGTTTCATTTATGATAACCTCAGTAGTTGCATGCTATTGAAACCCTATTATGACATGATTGGTTGCTTGATTGTGGTGAATTTGACTGATGGGAAAATATTTGTAAGAGCTTGTTTCTATACGATTTGGGACAAGAGGGGGAAAAAAGCATTAATTGACTGGTGTGTAAATGAAGGTTTACTTATTAGTCATTATTAAATGTCCTGTTTGTATGAAGGATGAAAGATTAATGCAAGAAATGCCACCGACAGTCCGGCACTACTGAGGATATTTTTTACTCATATTAAATTCCTACTATTAGCTCATACTCTCTCTATATCTTCAAATTTTCAATCGTTAATGAAATACTTTTTATTCATCCACTCAAGTTCAAATACATTTTTTTAAAACTTGTAATAGATGACACTAAATGTTATTACAATTTTTACTTGAATATTTAAATTATTTGAATATTATTTTATATTACTTAAATTAAATTATTTAATTTTTTTAAATAATATTTAAATGGTTAGAGTTGACTTTAAGGTACCCCTTTTATTATCACGAAGTTGTTGTTTCATTTATCACTAAATTGTTGTATCATTTATGGTAACCTGAGTAGTTGAATGTTATGGAAATCCTATTATGACGTAATCGTTTGCATTATTCTGGGAAATTTTGAATCATGGGATGGTTGCAAGGGCTTTAGTGGTGTTGTGTTGTTTAGGAAGTGCATTGTGTTTCATTGTTTAGACAGTACTATGGCTGAAGTAGATAATTGAAGTTTCTGTACGATTTGACGAAAGGGAAAAGTGCATTAATGACTGGTGTGTAAATCAAAGTTTATTTAATAGCCATAGTCCGGAACTATGTAGTATATTTTTTAATCTTATTTTTGTGAATTTCTGTGGTGACGCCAATATACAAATTGTAGTTCAAATAATTTTGGGAAGTTTTTGGATGCTGATAAGGAATTTTGTGTGCCACAGACTGAAGACGAACGAATTTCTAAATAAGGTAAGGGAATATTTGCTTTTTGTAGTGCAAAAATATATAACAGGTTTTTCCTTTTTTGTGTTATTTTATTGTTTGGTTTAAAATGCGGTTTATTGAGATTATGTATTTTTTGTTTGCCTCTGCTGTAGAATTGGGTGCGCCTTTGACTTTTTAAGTGAAAATATATCGATGTGTACATGGACAAACTCGAGGGAGTGCGTAAAGCAGTTTGTGCAATTCTCTGATGTTTTTTTAAGCAAAAATACGTCGATGTGTACATTGATAAAGTCAAGGGAGTGCACAATGCCATTTTTGTGCAATTCGGGGATTTTTTTTAAGTAAAAATAGGTTGATGTGTACATGGTTACTGAGTTTGTGCAATTCTTTGACTTGTTACTTTGGCTTGCGTAATGGCAGTTTGTGCGCCAAAAATCACCACTACGCAGGCCAAAAATAACAAGTCAAAGAATTGCACAAACTCTGTATCCATGTACCGCCAAAAATCGCCAAGTTTCGCCAAGGGGTACCCTAAAATATTCTTTTACCATTTATATTACTTATTGGAAAGGTTCCTTGCAATAATGAAGCATTACAAGAGATGGATAAAATGAGAAATTATAGACCACCATCAGCTTCATAAATTAGAAATGAAAAAATGTTAATAATGTTATAAAAAAGTAACTAAAATAAAAATTTTCTTTGTTGACCTAAGTAGGAATTCTTTTTATATTACTTGTTTTTGTGAATTTATGTGAAGATGGTAGTATGCATATTCTAGTTCACATAAGTTTTTGGATGCTTTCAAGGAATTTTTCTGTGCCACAAATTGAAGACACGGAAATTTCTAAATATAGTTAAGTTGATATTTCCCTTATGTAGTGCGCATATGCAATAACATGCATTTTTTTTTATCTTATTTCATTGTGTGATTTAAAATGTAGTTTATTGAGCCTCGATTGGCTACAAATTTTGTTCAATTGTGGTGATAAGTAACTTTAATTTAATATAATGTCATCATTCTCGTTTTTTTTTTTTTTTTTTTTTTTTTTTTTTTAAGTGAAAATTGATGGGTACATGGATAAAGTCAAGGGAGTGTGCAGTGGTGCGGAGTTTTTGCAATTCTCTGATATTTTTTTAAGTGAAATATATCGATGTGTACATAGACACCGAGTTTGTGGAATTCTTTAACTTGTTATTTTGGTTTCGTGTGGCGGCCATCTTGAGATTGTGCCTTGCTGGCCAGTTGCCAATTTTTGCCAAAGGGCAGCGTGAAATATATTTTTGCCAAAAGAATTATCACTTAGCCCTCTGATCTTCTAACATATCTTTCAGTAGTGGGCTATCTAGGCCCACTGTTATAGCAATTGTTGAAAAATAATGGTCTGAAAATGAGACTTCCCACAATATAAATAATATGTCCATTTTATAAATTTTATTCATAATGTAAAAATATCAAATTATATAGTGAATTAGAAACAATACTTTAATTAACACGCTGACTGCCCAACACAAGATAACTTGTATTAGCGCTCTTCTTCAGGACGCCCAATACGAGTTATCTCGTAGTTCCTTGACTTGCCACTATGAGTTACTTAGTCGCTTAGCACTTGTTTTAGCTGTGCCGTGGCAACAAGCCGAAGCATATCTGTACGAATCAACTCGTAGTGGGCGTCTGCGATGAGCTTTGTCTAACAAGATAATTCGTAGGACCCTTTCTTCTAACCCCCCCCAAAATTCCTGTAAACTGTTTAATGATTGTTATGAATCAGTATTAGTATTTTTAATAATATAATATGATTAAATCAATTGGCTTCTCGGACTGGAATCTGAAAAGTGCTGTGGCAGTCAACGTGTTAAAAATTAAATGTGCTGTGTTTACTTGAATATTACCCCCCTGGCATTTTTAATGCATAGTTTGCAAGCTATTGTTTTAATAGCATAGAAGATATGAATTTGCATAGCAAAATATGTTATGTAAATAAAAAGAATAATAATTTTTGTTTCAAATAATTATCTCATTAGTCATTTCATCATCTAGAGTATTGCTGTGGTGTATTACAGGGGACATAGCAATATTACATCTGCTGGGAAAGGAAAATGACACACAGACAACCAACACTTATCAATCCAGCCCCCTAGAATTCAGACTGGTAGTTGGCCTCTGCTAACTACTATATCATTCAGGGGGATGAAAATAATGCATTCCTTTTTCGGTGTGCCTTTTAATGTGATAAGCCCTTTTCCGTTTTCTTAGAATTGTCAAGTATGCACCTGGTAATTTTTCCTTCATGATTTTGAAGACTTGAAACTTTCAAAAGAATGGAGGCATATACGAATAGATGTGATACATATAAAGGGAGGGAGAGTATTGAATAAAGCTTAAAGAAAATAATAAGAATATTCTACTGAGACCTCTTTGTGTGAACATTTGAGAAGTTTAACTGTAGCTGCTGTGATTGTGCTATTTGTTAATAAATGAGGACTTCAACTTGTTAGCTATTGTTTTGTAAGTTTCTGTATTTAACCTAAAACACGATTTTCATATTCAGGAAGTGCTGATATACTGCTATTACATGCCTTTTTATTGGTACACCAATAAAAATGTATATCGTAGGTTATCTGTGCATATATAAATATATTGGGTACTCTTCTGTTATTTGGACCAGATTCAGAAATGTATGTGTGTAGGTATGTATGTGTATATATGTGTGTGTCTAGACACACGTACATACATTATACATACATACTTGAATACATTATCCATCCATCCATACATACATACATACATTTCTGAATCCGGTTCCAATAATAGAAGTGACCATATATTGTTTAATAGGCATTGTAATACTGAAATGTAATTATTATTCAGAAAACTAATAGTGTGTAGAGTTTTATAATTTTACTGTGTGTTTTTTGAAAATCAGAGTAAACATGTGAAAAATTTAGAAATTGGTTTGAATAAAAAATTAGTTTAAAATTAGTTTTTGATATGAGCATAGTTATAACATCATGTTCATTTAAAACTGAAAAATTAGAAATTAATATACTGAATTTTACTGTAAAAGATTTAATAATTGCTAACTATGTAATGCTAATTCTGGTCACTGCATTCTAGAATCCACTGCCATGAATAACACATTATCTAATTCATCTGTGAGTAATGGAGCTTCGACGTTGTCATCTTCAGGAATCTCATCCACTGTTTCTAGTAGCTTTGCCAATTCTGCTTTCTCAAGCATCCACAGTAATAGCTATGTCCAGATGTCTTCAGTGAGAGAATTTTTTTAACCTAAATTTGAGATTTTTGAAAAATCCATTTTTGTATTTTTATTAATTTAATCAGTTTAATTCATTTACATGTAATAATTATGTAAGCAACTTAATAGTTTATTTGTACATATTTCTTTTGAAGTTCATGACAAACTGTTTCTGTGCTTTAGGCATCTCAGAATCCCCCTTCTCCTCAGTATCCTGTAAATCATCCTTTATGTGGATCTAAGCATTTGTGTTCAATCTGTGGAGATCGAGCTTCTGGAAAGCATTATGGCGTATACAGGTAAAACCATAAATATTAAAAATACTGGATTTTAAATTGGAGGGTTTTCAAAGTTAAACAGCTTTTTATTATGAAGCATGCTGGTTACTAAATGTGATTAAAATTAATAATTGTATTAATAGAAGTAGTAATTATATTAACTTTCTGAATGACACAGCTTTTAGAATCTGCTCCTAAATGTATATTTAAACAGCATTTAATTAGCCAAATTTGTATAATTACGTATGTTAGCCTCTGTTTTCATAAGCTTCCATTCATGAAGATTATATTTACATCGTTAAAGGAAGTAAGAAAGCAAAGTATTTAAATTATAGGTTATGCCACTCATAGTTCTATTCAGATCTTTTTTAGCTAAGATTGACTGTTCAATAATTTAAACAATTTTTTATCAGTATGCATTTTTACTGCCTTATACGAAGTAAAAAGGAAGTTTGTAATCGTGAAAAGTTTCAGGCAACATATTTCAATGAAAATATCCATTTTGACCTCTATCGAATGCAATTTGACGATGTTTTTGCGTGATATCTGAATAAAAGACTTTTCCTCCAAAAAATTTATAAAACTGCTTTAAAATTAATTCTGAAGAGAATTTTTGGTGGCGTCTGTACGAACGTATGTACGTACGTACATGTGTGTACGTACTTATCTCGCATAACTCAAAAACGAGTAGCCTCAGAACATTGAAATTTTGTATATAGGACAACTATACCATGTAGATGTGCACCTCGTATTTTGGTTGCAATCGGCCGCACCAAATGTATATAAATATATTTATATATATATCCACTCTGTTACCCGGCTGAGTGATGTGTTTCCTTACTCTTATATGTTTGTAAATTGTATATTTTTTGCTTTAAAAATGATTGAATTATGTTGTTTTTTATCTTCCGGTTAAGGTTTTTATGCCTTTCGTAATTTTGGAAGCAATATTTGTACAATTATCAACAATGTAAAAGCTGTTTAAGTGCAGTTAAGTTTTAAATAACTTGGCGGACATATTTGTTTACATTTCAAACAGCAGAATTGTAGATTTGTTGCCAATCTAGAGAGACTAAGCTTCGCTACACAAAAATAATGCCTTCATTTATTATTGTGAATTAAATCATGCTTAATCCTTTCTGGAATTTTTTTCAAGGAAATAAGTGTTTAAGATTTACTTCGTAATTTTTAAAGCAGATATTTAGAGTTTTTATGTATTTTTGCCTTGTCGCGAAGTGAGAACTGAATTAATTGAACAAGAAATACTAAATCGTCTGTGAAAAACTGTTTCTTTTCTGTTTTGTTTGCTTAATTTCCTTCATACATCGTTTTAGCTTTATTATAGTATTTGAATAGAACATGTGGCAACGATAATTCTTCAAATGAAGTAAATTTTGTGAATTCAGAGTGTCGGTATAGTAAACAAATATAGTGAATTTTAAAGAGTGCATTTATTCTATTGTGGTTTATGCGCTGTCGACGAAGTAGATTTAATTCAATCCAATCAATTTAAATGAAATTAAAAAAAAAAAAAAATGCGTATAATTTAATATTCCGTACAAGGAAGTTATGTGGTGTACACATCAGATTTTTTTATATTGGAATAATACTGACAACACTAAGTACATAAATAAATATCCACAGTTATAGTAAACTGGAGATTATTATATTTTAAATAAATTCATTCAACAACATGTTTTGCAAATTCATACATTATATATTTTATTTCAGAAATTCATTAACTGTTTTTTTCCATGAACATTCTTTCCAAACTTTCAGCTTTTTATGATTTCAGTGTGATGCCATTTTATTTCTAATAGTACAACTGGTTGATGAATTTTCATCACTACCAACAAGATATTTCTTTGTAGATATGCAGATGAGCTTAGAGAAAATGCATTCTATTTTATATGCATGAAAAAGCATTTTTGAGACTGGGTAACTGGGAAGTCAAAGCAAATAAGGCAACGCAAAAATGGGAACTTTCAGTAAAAACTTGCTTAAAAATATAATATTGTAATTGAAATGCAGGAGCTGTTGAAGTGTGAGAAAAAGTATATCTTATCATGTTATTTAATTATCTTGTTGTTCAGTATGCATGATTATCCATTGGTTATGTGTTATTCCATAAGCAGGCATTTGTCACTTAGTTAACACTGTCAGATTTGATCAGAAATCACTAAAATAGAAATTCAGGAAATATTCTGTTTTTGTGTGTTTTGGGGCAGTTGAAAAAGTAACCAGTGCATATGTACTCCTTATTATTAAATAAGTAAACAACTGTTCTGCACGTTTTGTGAAAAATATCATGAGCATTCAATATGGTTAAGTAATTTGATATATATAAGAATTATTGAACAATCTGCAAGGGAAACAATTTTAGCGGTTTTGAACAAACTGTTATAATAATAAGTGTTTGTAAAATTAAAGGAAACAGTTTCTTCATCATTGATTATGACTGCTCATTAATTATGACTGTTCAAGAGGTATTTTCTTTTTACAAAAAGAAAAAAAAAAGAATAAATAATGAACAAAAGTTGATTTATTAGATTTATTAAGCAGCAGCTTGTTCTAGGGGCAACCATGTCATTTTATTAATATAAAAATACATCATTAATTGAGGTGTTTTTTTTTTTTTTTTTTTTTTTTTTTTTTTTTTATGAGCAGTGTTTATTTGTTAGAAGTGTTCATCCATTCCAACTTATATTAGAATCAGTAAGTTTCTAGATTCATTGCCATATGATAGTTCTGTAAGGAATTTACTGACAACATTCTGTCACCTCAGAGTGCTATCTTGTGGGGTGGTCAGATCATAGTATGTGGCTGATTCATTATGATTTAATACAGCTGTAAAGTCGTCACCATGCCACATGCAAGTTATAAATGTTGTATTTTGAAATGGAGCAGCATACAAATACTACGTTTCATCAAAAACTAAGGCCCTTTGAAAATGAAACATATTAAATTATCTGAGAAATATATGGAGATGTGTTATTAATTGCTCTATTATATTCAACTAGTACTAGTTATTTGCTATGGGCAGGAAATCCACTGAAAATGAAATGCATGTAAAGCATCTGGTGTTTGTCAGAACCAGAACAAAATTCTAATAAGACACTACAAACTGTCTGTGAAAATAATTTCTGTGCTAGAAGTAAAACTTTAAAAACAGTAAGAATTAGAATGGCATAGCAATTTTCTCTTAAGCATGTTAATAAACAAATTTTCCAATAAAGTGGGAGATACAGGTGACCCATCTGCTGGGATCTCATGAATAGTTATCCAACATTTTTAACAGTATCATGATTGTTGCTTAATATTTGATCTGCAAATAAAACAGATTTCTGCCACCAGAAGATCTCTTGTAAACCACTCAAAAAAGATATAAATGCCACATTATCTTATATGTTTTTCTCTATGCCAAACAAATCATGTACATGGAATTCATTCCTGATAGAGCAATAGTAAAAAAAGAATAATTTGCGGTCGTATTGCTGTTATCTCTAGAAATCTATCAATCAGAAGTTCCCTGACATTTGAAGAAACAAGAATTTTCTCTGTTTTCAAGATAGTGCTGGTGTCTGTTATTTTGTTCTTTTGCAATTTAAAATAATTGTATTGCCCTAACCTCCATATTCTCCAGCTTTGCTTCCTGCAGATTTTTTCTATTTTTTTTCCTTTCCTTTTGGTTTCTATTTAATTCTATTTTAGAAGAAGTTTACAGTTGTTAGATGAATTGATCTGCATAGCTGTGGAGGCTGTATGGTCTGTAAGTTCCAGGAGATTTTTCAGCTGTTGAAGTGACTCTCATTATGGCATGGCATCATGGCTGCATTATGGCTCAAGGACATAACTTTAAAGTAGATATACGTAATAGGAGTCTGGCCAGTCCCCTTTTTTTATGATATGGCTGGCTAGGAGGATCGGGCCTGTGCCCTTATAATAATAATACATAATAGGAGCATGGTACCAGATATGCATCAGTTTTGTACCAAAAATAAAAATGTATTTGGTCTGCATCATAAAATTGCAACAGATAAAGTCTTTACACCAATAAAACTACACCTTCAGCCGACAACCTCCCAAGGTTCCAATCTTTCAGATGTAACTATCAATCATATTTTAGATATAGTATTCCCTGAAGATGACATCACTAATGATATGGCAGCACATTAGTAAAACAAAAATACACAGTGCAAAAGATCACAAAAACAATGGACATCCTAACAAAACTGGGCACAGATTTATGTCAAGTAATATAATTTCATATAACAAGTTATAATAAAGATGTAATAGTATAATAAATAAAGGAGTAAAGTAATAAATGCAATCTATAATAGAGTAAAGCAAATAACAGCAGTGCTTATCATTTGAAACAGTAATTAATTTCTAGCAAAAATATACATATTATATTATATTTAAAATGTACATGCATTTAAATTATAATAAATAAATACTGACTTTTTGCGATTATGAAGGCATGACACATTGATAGTTAAATTGTCATAAAGATATTATAAACTTGAAAATCAAGTTACAAGAAAGCATACCCAAGTTGATTCGATGTGATCAAAGAGAGATAGGATTCAGTGACACACAAAAGGAAAAGACGAAAAACTTTAGAAAAAATTCCTGGAAGACATTAGCGCACTATATAAGGCATAATGTGAGGAATACATTAGAAACCTCGAAACTGAGAAACTCATGAAAGAGTTGCAGCAAAATGAAAGAAATTTTGCAAGAGGACTTTGGCAACATTCTAGTTGAAATGGTGCAAATAATAAAAGAGAAACTTCACGATAAAGAAATAGTATATAGACTGCTTGAAAATAAAGAGAAATTACAAAAGAAAGAAATTCATTAGAGAAAATTCTCCAACCAAAATTTATGTAATAAGTTATGATAATAATGTGAATACAATTATTGTATAGACTTTATTTGTAAATCAGTCACAATATATGGCAATGTAAAAATTTTAGAATTATTAATAAATACTGGACGAGCAGACGTGGGCAGAACCGATTAACTGTAATGGTAGAGGGATGGTGCCTACGCCCTCCGTTACTACTACTACCATATGTGTTCTAAAGAAATAATCAGTCTAATATTTTCTTGTTTCTAAAGTAAGTTTCCCATTCAGGCTATGAATTTGTGTACTGAAACTCCTAATTATAGTAGACATATTTCATCATATGTATTGGAAAATAAATGAAACATGTTGAATAAAATTATAATAGCTGACTCTTTTAACTGGATCCAAATTCATCATGTAATCAAAACAAAGTATTGATTCAGATGGTGATAAAAATTTAATGAGAAAGTGACAAAATGGCATAAAAATAAAAAAAAACCATCAAAAGTACTAAAAATATAAAGGAAAAGTTGAGCAGCTTCTTTTAGACTGTAAAACTGACTATAATTGGCAAGCAAATATTATTCTAAAATGATAATGGAAATGGTGCTTTCTGATTATCCTCACTGCCACAGAAAAGTATAAATGAGGCAATGCACCATGTTGTCAAAAAGTATTCACTTGGCAACCATGCATGTTTGTGTGTACAATGATTTGCACTTTTCAAATTTGACAGTCATTTATCTGATTAGCGTTTCTTTTTACACTGAATATATTTGTTTTTGTCATAAGAGCTGTGGAGTCAGAATCTGAGTTATGCAGGTTTTGGGGTAAAAGGAGTCAGAGCTGGAGTCTAAAAACACATTGACTCTGACTCCACTTTTTGTTGGACAGTTTGAATTTGAAATGAAAGTAAACCAAATTGAAAAAAAAAAAAAAAAAATAATGACAAACTGAGTTATTATTTATATATATGACGTTTATGTAGATCCAAAACACCGAATTTTGTTGGATGATGAAAAAATTAAAAAGGCAAAGAAAGCCATCTATGAACTTTCACTGAGAATAAATTATTCTCAGAGTATTCAAATCAGGACAGTCAGACTGCAGACATTGCAAATGAGTCTCTTATCATCCTATTCCAGTGATGAATTAGCTTTTGAGAAATATTTGTATAATATAGAAAAGGCTAAGGCAAAGCAAATGAAAATAAAGGACCAACAGCCTTTAGGTATAAAATTGAAAATTACCAACAAGATTTTTACATGGGCCTTGAAAAAATAGAGAAATATGATCGCTCTTGCAAGACACTTCTTTTAGAACTTATGCATACCTATCCTGGAAAGTTAAATGAAGTAGCCCTAACAGTAGCAGCTCTTCCTCCTACTCAAGTTAGTGTGGAAAGACTATTCTCAGCTCTGAAGTTTATCAGATTAAATGTACAGTTCTCTATCAAAGAAGATCTTGCCAAAGCTATACTGTTTCTTGGAAATTACTAATGTCAGTTTTTCCATTTCATAATATATGCTAATTAATATAAATAATCTGCTATGCCGTCAATTGTTTTTTCTGTAGCATCTATTACTTCTTTTATGTTTAAAAACCATAAACTGTAGCACATGTATATATGTTTGCATCTATATGAGGAAGTCTTTAAAATTCCAGGAGTCTTGAGTTAGAGTTGGTCATTTTCCCTCCCAACTCCACGGCTCTAGTCATAACAAATCATCTTGGAACTTTGGAATTTGGCCTCTCATGGTTGGTGCACAATGCATAGTTGTGTACAATGCTGAGTTTGTGCAGTTCTGTGTTTTTTTAGTCAGAAGAGATAGTTATGTACATGTCTTCTATGCAAAAAGAAGAATATAAAAAATAGGCTGCTCTGCATAGATTGTTGAAGTAGACTTAATGAGATCCAAACTTTACTCTCCAAAGTTGTCAATGAATTTCCAACTTATCAGTAGTGGTACAGATAATCAGAAAGTACCAAAAATATAGGCATCTGGTTCCTCCCCCCCCCAAATATACATATTTCTTAAATATATAAATTTTATATCTTTTTGTTTAGTCCAAAGGGGCAATTTGCCCAGAAGGACTGTTAATTTCGTTTTGCATTTTGCATTGATTCACTTTTTAAATTGTTGCCACCAAATAATAGAGTCCTCTATTATATTTAAAGAAATTAAGTAATGGAAAATCCGTGTAAATGTATTTATGTTTCTCGCACTGTGATAAAACAACGGTACTTAGGGCCATCAAATTTTGAATAATGTAATCCTCCACTAAATATGGGCATCTGGAAGCCTTAATTTTGAATTTGTTTTATTATCAATTTCATATTTTGTAATGCTTTAACAAATTTTTGATTAACGAACTCAACAATTTTAAAGCGAGCAATGGAAACACTGTATGGGGGGGGGGAATTTATCTCCAGCACGTAAGACTGCGTATTGTAAATTCTAAAGATATGCTAATTTAAAAATTATTTTGTGATAGTGCTGTCTAATTGAATTTTATGGTTTAAGTGTGAAGAACATGATATTTAATAAATAAAGGTGACATACAAAACCTTAAAAAAACTCCCCTGTAGGCATAATGTAAAATCTGTAAAAAAGTTTTCAGATTAAAAAATTTTTTTTATTATTATTATTATAGTTGTGAAGGATGCAAAGGTTTCTTCAAGCGAACTGTTCGGAAAGATTTAACATATGCATGCAGAGAAGAGCGCAACTGTATTATTGACAAACGTCAAAGGAACCGTTGTCAGTATTGCCGTTATCAGAAATGTCTGTCAATGGGAATGAAACGAGAAGGTAAGTTAAAATATTTGCAAACATACCTTTCCATAACATGGAAAAAGAAATGTATTACATTTTTTGCATTCTTAATTAAATTTATTAGCATAAATCAAGAAGTGATTTAAATTATTTTAGGTTCCCATCCTCAAAGAATTCTTTTATTTTTCAGTGTTCTAGTTTTTGCATTAAATCTCATATTTTTTAATTGAGTAAATGAAACCAAATATTTTAGTGAGTACAAATGAAAGCTACATTCTCAGTGTAAAAAGATTGAATACAAATTGGGGGGGGGGAAAGATGGGAAAACTTAATCAGTTGTTGCATTGGAGACAGAGTTAAGTAAATGGGAAATGAATTAAAATTGACCTGAGAAAAAGACAAAGTACAAAAGCAAATATGAGCTAGTTAATGAAAAATAAAGCATAATATGCATAATAATGCAATATTATAAAGAATATTGAATGCTTAAAGCAAAAGTGGGACAAAGAAAACTAATAAGCATGATACTTTCTTTCTAAAAAATTAGTAGCTTATTAAATAATTTCAACCCCCCCCTTTTTTTTAATAAATGCCTTATTTGTCATTTTGCAGTAAAATAAAAAAATAGTAATCAGTAACCTAGGTTAACCATTTAATATAACTATATTCACCAAAATATTGTTGATTATTCTAATTCAATTTTTAAATAATTATCTTTATTTTAATGTTATTTGTGTCATTTAATATTGTTTCTTCTCTCTAAATTTATTTATTATTTATTTGTAAATAATAATTTCAAAATTTCAGGAAAATTTCTCTGCATAATCCTGAAATTAATTCTAGCAGTATGATGACATACCATCACAAAATTTAATGCACATATTTTTTGCTTATGCATGCTATTAAATAAATATAAAATACCTGAATTTATTTTAAAATATCATTAAATAGATTTTTCTTTTGTTTAGCTGCAAAATGTCTGCAAAAAAAGACATTTTTTAAATCCAGATTGGGCAGATTCTAATCTCAGTCTTCAGTGAAGAAAACAACTCCTATTATAGTTATAATAGTAATGCTTTGAGGCTTATATATTGTATGTGATATACATATATATAAGTCATATGTAATTGGCAAAGTTTTGTGTTTTCAAGTGGTACCATAATTAATTTACCTCTTAGGACAGCCAATATGCATTACGCGGATAGACTGGAATTTACTTAAAACACACCTGGAAAAGTCAGGGAATTTCATTTTCCTGTTTGAGTGGCCACCCAGTCCTTTACAACAGCTTAGCTTCACGTGTTCCTTCACAACAGCTTTTCACCAAAAAATCTTGCTTGAAAACACCGGTATCACCCCACTCCTGACACCAAAAATGTTATGTAGAACCAGGGAATAAGTAGAGAGCAGACACAAGGTTACACATTAAACCATATTTATTTGACGGCACAACACACAGAACATACTGAAATCACAGCCAGTCAGAACTCTGAACAGAATAAACAGCTAGGGCTTGCACATCATGGACCTTATAAGAAATAGACTAACCCAAACGATTTTTCTCCCTCGTCTGAGGCGTTGCCGGCTGTCACCTTGATCACATCCAGAGGAGTAGGGACGACTTGCAGAAATTTAACATTAGTTGGCTATTGCAGCGTGTATAATTATCAAGAAAAAGCTGTAATGTAGCATCTCATTTCACAAATTAGAATTTCTATATATTTTTATTTTTGAAATTGAGATTGATTTTTAAAAACTTTAGCATATTTATCAAGCATAATTAACGTTCCAAATATTATAAAGCTATTGCATGCTTTCAGGGCTGGATATTTTTTTAGCTTTTCCTATGCTGTAAGGAAATTTGTAACTACTTCTTTTAGAAAATAATATTTTAAATCTGAACTAATAGAAAATTTCAAACAAGCAATTTTCATTTTTTATCCTTTTTATTGGTGTAAATTAGTAAAAAGTACTAAAATATTTAAAAAAGAATTTTTGAAAGTTTTGTTTAAAATTTTAAATTGTGCTGCTTTTTTAAAATTATAGATGAGAGTATTATAGCACAATTTCCATAACGGAATTTTATTTCAACTATATTTCATATTACATCATAGTGATAAACACTTTTGACTCCTTAAAAATTTTTATACATATAATTCTAATATTAAAATTGTATTTAACCGTAATAATTAATTTTGCTTATATTTTATAGTGATTATTTTTTTAAATTTATTTTTAGTTCCTAATAAGATTTTTTTATTTACTGTTCATTTAATTTATGAGCCTAAAGGGGCGGTAGCCTAGAAAGGCTGTTAGTTTTGAAGCAGCATTTTGCGCTGTTTTACTATAAATGTCCGTGTCTCCTTGCAAATTGTTGTTACCAAATATTATCGCCCTGTATTTTATGTAAAGAAATTAAATAATGAAGAAATCTGCATGAATACATGTATGTTTCTTGCACTGTGCCAAAAACGACAGTATCTAAAGCCATAAAATTTTGAATAATGTAATCCTCCAACCGAACATGGGCATCTCGATGGCCGAATTTCGAATTTATTTTAATCTATTTCTTCTTTGTAAAACTTTAACGAATTTTTTATTAACAAACTCAACGAGTTCAGAGCGAGCACTCTACGGAAAATAACAGTTTTATCTCCAGTGTGGAAATTCTAAAGATATGCTGTTTTCAAATGTATGTGGTTTACGGGCGAAGAACATGATAATCAATAAATATAGGTAACGCACAAAACTTTAAAAAAAGGTTCCTATAATATAAAATTTGAGTGCTTCTAGATTTTATTTTATCTTTTTTTCCCCCTTCATTATGCTTAGAAAATTTTATGCTCCGAATTTTATGAATTATTAAAATAACTAATCCACTTTAATGTTAATAATTTAATGATCATATAATCGTTATGTAATTTTTCATTATGTAAATATGATCGTTTTGTAATTTTATTATACTTTGGAAAATCACTGCTTGAAAATTTTCATTAAATTTAAAAAGAAAAAAAATATCAGATCTTGTTTAATTTTACCTTATTTATTTCAAAGCATCATGTACTATCAATCTTATTTAATTTTACTTTATTTTTACGCAAAATTAAGTTCATAAATTTTGTGCTTAGAGTTTTTACCGTTTTACCAAAGTAAAGATGTCTGTACAAGAATTACGTGTCAAAAAATTGCGCAAAATGCAGTAAAAAGTGCTGTTAGGCAGATAGCCCTAGTGTGCTTTGCCATAATTAAATACACCACCACGCCACCTATTTCCATCGCGTCAGTGTTCATCACTATGCTTTCTCCTTTTTTCTTGGTATTTCTAACGTCCTTCTTTTTATTGGAATGATCATTTTCCGCGTCCAACATTGCCTTGGCCTTCTTCGCTTTGCTTTTCTTTAGCAATCAAGAAACAGTAATCTTTTCTCAGGGGATTGATTTGAATGAGCTCTGTTAATCTCGTTCGCTGAAGTATTCATCGTCATCTGAACTATCTCGAGGAGTCCAAAAAAAAGGACGTTTTTGTTACCCGAAGGTACCAAAACTGCTATCAAGACTAAAATCACCGATCGCCTACGGTACTGGGTCAGTATTCAGATCCAATGTTGAATGTAACCAACGTACGTGCTACGCACTTGAAGTCTCAGCTCGGAATGAGTTGATGAATAGAGGATGTTGCCAATGGCAATGATTTCAAATTAGGGAGCGCCTATGGTTTAAAACCATTTACCTCCTCATCAGAATTAAATAAAGTGAGCAGAAATAAGAAAATTGCGTTAGTTTACTTGATGCAAGCTAGAGGGAGCCACATATGTTCGAGAAAGGTTAGGGATAGAGATGAATATAAACAATTAATAAAATGAAATTTTAGTTTTTATAATCATCTTTCAAAATTTTACTTTTTTGTAGTTTTTTATTTTAAGTTCCCCCCCCCCCCATTTTCACAGTTTTTTTTTTTTTTTTTAAGCGGATAGGAAAGATTTTACGATTAATAGGCTCATTGGCATGTGGCTTGATGTAATAGTGCAAATATAGCAAGGTAATCACGATAAAATATTCAAGGTAGAAGTAAGTTCTGTGGGAAGATGTGATTTTTAAAATAACAGATTGATAATTATGTAAAAGACCACTTTTCAGGTTTCTGTGTTCAAATTATAGCGAAGATGGACAAGCTATAGGCATATTATGGCAGCATAACAAGAGACGTCCTTCCTTCATGGAGGTTGGGCTGGAACTGAAGACTTAGGTGCAAGTCACGTTTGGCAGGCTCCTGAGCATAATCCTCATCCTGAATTTAATTGCGTAGGAATCTCACATAACTTATTATAAACATGACGTATTTGAGAAACCGAGCTAAGGGTAAAGATCTCATTTCAGCCGATGAGTAAGTCTTCGCATATAAACATAGGAGCTACTCTGCAAACAAAGTCCGTTTGCAACAATCAACACTATGGCAACCACCAGTGCAATTTACGGAGTTCATAGGCAATTACGCCTTTACCTCCACATTATCATAGGAATTTAGATCATCAAAAAGAGGGATTGTCTAATAGGGTAAAAATTTTGAGAAGCCCAATGACTTGGAATAAGTACCTTCACACTGAGACAAAAAAAAAAAAAAGGCAAAAATCTCAGAAGGTCTTAATTTTGTGCCGAAAAAGAGCCAGAATAATTTAGATAGGGGCAGTCATCATAAAATTTTGACCAGATAAATAAAAGGCGAAGTTTCCTTGAACCTTGATAATCGCGTTTTGCATACGTCAGAAGCGAAGAATCATGGACCTTATAAGAAATAGACTAACTCAAATGGGTTTCCTACCTCGTCTGATGCGTTCTCGGCTGTCACCTTGTTAACATCCGGAGGAGTAGGGACGACTTCCAGTAATTTAACAGTGGTTGCCTATTGCAGCGTGTATAATTGTCAAGAAAAAGCTGTAATGTAGCATCTCATTTCACAAATTAGAATTTCTACATATTTTTATTTTTGAAACTGAGATTGATTTTTACAATTTAGCATATTTATCGAGCATCATTATCGTTTCAAATAATTATAAAGCTATTCCATGCTTTCAGGGCTGGATATTTTTTTAGCTTTTCCTATGCTGTAAGGAAATTTGTAACTACTACTTTTAGAAAATAATATTTTAAATCTGAACTAATAGAAAATTTCAAACAAGCAATTTTTATGCTTTTTGTTGGTGTAAATAAGTAAAAAATATTGAAATATTTCAAAACAAATTTGTGCTGCTTTTTTAAAATTACAGATGAGTATTATAGCACAATTTCTATAAAGGAATTTTATTTCAATTACATTTCATAATACATCATAGTGATAAACACTTTTGACATCTTAATTTTTATACATTTAATTCTAATATTAAAATTGTGTTTAACCGTAATAATTAATTTTGCTTGTATTTTATAGTAATTATTTTTTAAATTTATTTTTAGTTCTGCATAAGATTTTTATTTACGGTTAATTTAATTTATTAGCTGGAAGAGGCATTTTGCGCTGTTTCACTATAAATGTCCGTGTCTCCTTGCAAATTGTTGTTACCAAATATTATCGCCCTGTATTTAAAGAAATTAAATAATGAAGAATCTGCTTGAATACATGCATGTTTCTTGCACTGTGACAAAAACGACGGTATCTAGAGCCATCAAATTTTGAATAATGTAATCCTCCATCTGAACATAGGCATCTGGACGTCCGAATTTGTTTTAATCTATTTCATATTTTGTAAAACTTTAACGAATTTTTGATTAACAAACTCAACGAGTTCAGAGCGAGTACTGTATGGAAAATAACAGTTTTATCTCCAGTGCGGAAATTCTAAAGATATGCTGTTTTCAAATGTATGTGGTTTACGGCCGAACAACATGATATTCAATAAATATAGGTAGCACACAAAACTTTAAAAAAAGAGTGCTTTTAGATTGGATTTTATTTTATTTTATCTTTTTTTCCCCCTTCATTATGCTCAGAAAATTTTATGCTCCGAATTTTATGAATTATTAAAATAACTAATCCACTTTAATTTTAATAACTTAATGATCATGTCATCAAATAAATATGATCGTTTTGAATGTTGTTATAGTTTGGAAAATCACTGTCTGAAAATGTTCATTAAATTTTTAAAAAAAAATTTGTCAGATCTTGTTTAATTTTACCTTATTTATTTCAAAGTGTCACGTACTATCAATCTTATTTAATTTATTTAATTTTACTTTATTTTTATGCAAAAATTAAGTTCATAAATTTTGTGCTTAGAGTTTTTACCAAAGTAAAGGTGTTTGTACAAGAATTACACGTGGAAAAAAAATGCGCAAAATGCAGTGAAAAGTGTTTTAATGAGATATATTAAATCCTATTTGGAAAAAAATGTGGCTTTCATAATCTCATCAATATACAACGTATCACATTTAATAATTAAAAAGAGTTATGTGATACAAACGCCATAGGTTTCAATGTTAAAGTAAAGCAGATCGTCCCTACTCTTTCTTGCTGACATGTCGGTGACGCACGCCCCGCCCACCGGGTTAGTCTATTTCTTATAAGGTCCATGTTACACATACGCTTCTCTCAGCTTGACATCTTAAGGATGGCAACTATCTCTGGTTTGGCATGAGCATAAAACATCATTAACAGTGGATATGGTGAAATTTATTCTTGTCATTTACAGGGCAGATCTTATAGGTGTACATGTGTATTATGTATCATATAAATTTGAAGTATGTTTTTCAGAATTAAAAAATATGAATTGACAGAATTTTCAAAAAATGGGAGTTTCCTCTAAAATTTGAGAACGAATTTCATTTTAAAATCATTTTTATACCTAATTTATACTTCATTCAGTATTCTACTGAAAAATTTGCTAAGCAGAGAAATTTGCAAAACAGACATTTGCTATATAGAGGTTGGACTTTGCTATCACTTTGTGCTTAATGCTGGATCCATTCAGAAGCTCGGTACTGAATTGCTAAATTAAATATTTCTGATGTTTGCATTTACTATTGGAAAAGCAAAATTTTATCAAATTCCAGGTGCATTCTCCAAATGAGGAATAAAGTTCATTTCTGCTGATTTTATCATGTTTGCTGAATTAAAGAATAATAATTGAAGTGTATATATAAGTGTAAATTAAACAAGTAATCCAAAAAATCGTACTGTTAAAATATCAAATAAAATAGCAAACGATTCCTTAATTTAATATGTTGATGACCTGAATTACCTGTATTTGCTTAAAAAGCTGATTGTTTAAAAAATATTGAATGAAATGATTTAGTATATCATAGTAATATGGCATTTATAGTAGTAATATATCATAGTAATATAATGCATATCATTATATTAAAAAAAAAACTGAAAAGCTTGATTATAAATGCATACAACTCAAAACTGTATTATGAAAGTTAATTTAATTGATATAACAAAATGAAAGCTTAGTCTACATGTGGGATTTTTAGAGGAAAATTTACTTGCATTCACATTATGTGGAAAAATCTTGGAAATGCCTTGCAGTGAACCTGTAAATTGGAATTAAAACGAAGGGTGAGCTATCATTGTTGAGGGTCTTATCCATTGGGTTATTGGTGGGCCAAACTGTATTACAAAAGAAGTAAAATTGAAATAATACATGACAATGGAATTTTAAGAAAAAATTGAGTACCTCAGAAATGAGTGGTTTTTTTTTTTTTTTATGTTAGTAGGTAATATAATCTTCCCTAACTTGGCTGTACACATATTAGCTATATATAACAGAATAGTATCTATATAACTTGTACTATTAACTGTACACATGACTTATGTCTATATATTATAAAGTAATTTTTTGTTATCAGTAATTAGAGTTTGAGGGCTAAATTCTTTGATTTGCCAGTATAGTTTTCATAGTGAAAACTGTTTCAAAGGTTCCTGTAAGTTCTGTCTGGGATTTAAATCAAGATATTTTTCTGGCCAGTGTGCCATTTGTGTAAAAAATTTAACAGTTAGATTTGTTCAGAGTAGATGCCCATTATCTTCCCCAAAGTAAAAGTTAGATCCTCATGCATGTATAAAAAGTCTTTGCATAAAATTGTAAAACTTTATCACAATATGCACCATATCACATCACCACATTGCTTACCATATCATCACATCTACAGTGGCACAATGTTCATTTCTTTAATGTTGATAGGAATGTTTCATATTCTTGGCTCCGTCCAGGTAGAAACACATTTATAGTTAAATCTTAAACTAAACCTTCATTTGTCATTGAAAAGAGAAAATTATTGTAAACTTCTGATATTCTCTGCCATAATTCAGAAGAGCCTTCTTTTCATGTGAGGCCATCGAGATATTTGTATCTCCATCTATTTTCTAGCATAAATGCTTTTCTCCTTAAGCTTTCTGTGTAAAATTTGCTGTGCTATGGAGGTTACAATAGTAGCTGAAGAATCTGATTCTGCTGCTTAACAATTGAATTCTTATTATTATAGGTAATTGCCGAGAGAAACTGCCTTAAAAAAGCAGTTTTTTTTCTCCTGTGGCAGTATCATGCTTTTCTATATATCTTGAAATTTTCAGGTGTCTTTTCCTAATACAGCTGTCTTTCCCTTATTCCCTGGTTTTCTTCTGAGTGGATACAAACTTTCCATCTCAAATCTTCCAAATGATAGTTAGATGATACCATTAGAAAATTACTTTGATTTGCAAAATACTGAAATTGAACCCTCCATTTCAGAAGTTTGTGGAAATGTATTTTGCACAAAGTGCTCATCTTTGACAGTGTGATGTTATTATTTGTTGAATTGGATAATAATAATTACCTTTTTATCATTGTATGAAAAATAAACCAGATCAAGTGGTTACTTAATAAAGTATCATTATTACTTTCTTGTACTAGGTAAAGGAAGTATTGTAATCACAAAAAATTTTGGGTATCTTATTTCAATGGAAATATCCATTTTGACTCTTCTGGAGTCCTTTGGATGATTTTTTAAAATTTATATAAAGATGGTTCTTGACCAGGGATAATTTTTAGATGTAAATGCTAATTGAAGGTTTTAAGGAAGGGAAAAAGTTTAGTTTGATTTTAAAAGTACATTAACTAATTTTTGATTTTTAAATCAATCCTCTCCCAAACTTCCATTTTCGAATCTGCAAGATTCCAAGCTTAGAATTGAATACTTATATTAAATGAATAAGTTTGCATATTTTAAGATATAAAATTTGGTAAAAATAAAATGGAATGGAAAAAATTAAGTTGATTTAAGATACAAAATAGAAAAACCAACATTTATGATTTTTTGTCCTTCCAAATTACCTTTAGATGGTTGTGGAAATTATTTTGATTAATAAATAGATGATGCTAGCATTGCATGTTGAACGTGATGTGCCTTTTGACTTTGCCATAGACTCTCCACTGGCAGCTCGGGAGATAAAGATAATAAATGCTTCGCACACTAGCTGATTAGGAACACTTCGGTTCCTATTTAAAAGATTTAAATTTTCGATTGTGAAAGCATATAGATTTTGTTGTTGAAATGCAAACAATTCAGTTTAAAATATTTAAAACTGTTCATTTATTCAAAACCAGTGTAAAAGTTATCGAAAGACATAATTTTTATCTCAAACTATATCTTCCTCTAAATGTCATCTTAAAAAATTGTGAGCCGTTAAATATTTGTTGTAAATGTTGTGATTTTTTTTCCTAGATTAAATGTTGAGTGTTTCTTTTATTACATGTTCATAATTTTTAATAATCATTCACTTAGTTATCAGAATTTAGCTTTATATAGATTTAATTTGTTAAAAAAATTTGGCAAAAATAAATATTCATTTTTGTTATTGTAGCTAATGGCACTCATTTAATGTAGGTTTTCATCATAATTTATTAATATTTACTTATTTCATGTAGCTGTACAGGAAGAACGGCAAAGAAACAGAGAACGAAGTGAGAATGAAGTTGAAAGCACTAGTAATATACAAGCAGACATTAGTACTGACCGAATATTAGAAGCAGAATTATGGATGGAAGCCAAAAAAGAACCGGTAAGCTATTGATATTTATGATTTTCTTGATAATTTTTTATGTCATATTAGAATAATTTGTTAAGTATGTAGCATTAAGATATGATGTTGCAAATGTATGATATATTTCATAATTGACTTGCTACACTAGCGCTACCTGCTGCCGTCCCACTTATATGTCAGAACGTTTCTTCCCCGATTACATTTTCTCATTCAAATAGTGCATTTTATATAAAATAGAAAATCAAATATTTCAGCTTAATTTCATATAAAGACACATATTGTTACGTGTGTATGGGTTTTCAGTGGATTTAAGGCACATAGAACTGATGACTGGGTGAAATTTGTTTTTCCAAAAACATTAACACTTTTCACACAGAAATATTCATACAACAGCTTACTCAATATGACCAGTTACTAGTTATTGCTTAAAACTACTAGGAACTGTATTTTCCATTGCATTGAACACAAGGCAATGTAGAATGCATCTAAAAGTTAAGCTTGCATGGCTCAACTCAGTTCTCTGAACCAGTGGCGTGACTAGAACTCTAGGGACCCTATGGGGGAAAAAAAAAAAAAAATTTGACCCCCCAATAAATTTGCAATACCCCCCCCCCCAAAAAAAAAATTCCAGCCTTCCGGGAGCCAACATTTTGATAATGATTTTTATCGGATCAGGTTTAATAGTTAAAAATCTCATATGGAGACACATCCGTGTATCGTCTATGATAAATTACACCTCCCCCCCCTTTTTTTTTTTTTTTTTGCTGCATTTCATTTAAAGTTATTTCCTTGAATAATTTTAACTTCATTACCAGATCCTTCAAGGCAAGTTGAAAATGACATAAAAAATTGCATTTTGAATTAAATATCCCAGCCAGTTTTTGTCATATGGGAGTCAAACTTCTAATTTATTTTTCACAATGAGTTCAAAACTTTCCCGAGTGTAGGAACTGGGAGACCGAAGGAAAAGTTAAATTTCGTTATTTGTCGAAAATTGTTTTTTTAAATTCGACATAGCATCATTTAACATTTTTTGTGTCAGTCACTATGTTCATCAGACACTAACCACTATACCGGTTGGGCGGCGAAAGCTCTTTTCTATGAGGGAATCAGAATAAAAGCGTATCTCTTCTGCTTTGTATTCAGTTGAAGTTTTGGTGTATGTAACACTGAATTCAGCTTTTTTTAATCTGCTTCGAAGTTATCCATTTGAACTTAGAAATAACTAATGTCAGTTTTTCCATTTCATAATAAATAGTAATTAATATAAATAATTTGCTATGCCATCAATTTTTTTATCTGTAACATATATTACTTCTTTTATATTAAAAAAATGCTTTTTAACCCATGTGTATATGTTTACATATATATATGAGGGAGTCGAAATAGGAGTCAGAATCATTAAAATTCCAGGAGTCGGAGTCAGTCATTTTCCCTACCGACTCCACAGCTCTGCTTCAAACCATGTGTGGTGATTTAGAATTCACTCATCGGGTGATGAAGGTGCATCTGGAGGGTGACCAAAGAGGAGAGAGATCACAAGACAGACAAAGGTCACGACTAATGAGCATCTGGAATTAAGAATGGCTGGTAGTCTCATTGACAGCACTGCAGTAAGGCCAGTAAAAACAGAGATAACTTTTTGTCCCAGTCCTGTTGGTTTCTGGAAACCATCAGCAAGAGGTTATTAAAGATGGTTTGATTAAACTGTTCTACCATGCCATCTAACTGTGGATGTAAAAGTGTCGTTTGGGTTTTGTCTACGCCGCTTAGTTTACAGAGTTCGTAAAAGACAGTTGAGATAAAATTCCTTCCTTGATTAGAATGGAACTGGAGAGGCACTCCAAACCTGGAAATCCAACAATGTAGCATTACCTCTGTTACTGTGACAGCCTTTTGATCAAAGATAAGATAGACTTCAGGCCACTTTGCAAAGTAATTCATGACAATGAGAATGTTTTTATTGCCATCTGCTGGTACTGCAGTATTGTCTTGAACTATTATTTGGTGGATGGATTGATGGATTTAAATCCTTTATCTTTGATTCCGAAGAGGTTTATGTCCTCAGAGGCAGAATGCAGTCCATTATTTTTAAAGTCCAATGAAAAATTGTATTTCCTTGAAAAATCTCTAAACTGAGTATGCAAGGGTCTATAATATCTGCCACATATGCCATGTAATGTTATGATGTTACACCTACAAACTGATGTTAACATTTAACTTTTCATCAATGTCAATTTTATTACCATTTGCAGTCAGGAGAGTAACACAGGGCATCGTCCTGGCTGAATTCAGTTCCCCGTTATTGAGCTGGAACTGTTCGTATGATCTAATATTGGCTTCTGTATTGATAGCTATATTGCAAAGAACTCCATTTATATGTTCTTGATGAAGAGTCTGTTACTGCCACCACTCATTTCAGAAATATGAAGTGTTTTAAAATGGGGCCTCTGTTGGTGCAAGCTTAGCTGAAGTGTGCTGTAGTCTTTTAAATACTTCTTGCCAAAGTGCAGCTGCAAGGCAATAGATAGAGCTTCATAATTCTAGTCGGAGAGAGTCTGAATGATATTCGTTGCATCTGCTTTCTGGAGAAGTGGCGAGATGGCAGGCCTTAGCTTCAGAATCTCATTCGTGTCCACTATTATAGAGAACTATAGTCACTTAGAGTCTTGTTCTCTTGCCTGGAGTTTTTTCCATTACATGTGGAGAACAATTGAGAGGGTTGAAAAGACATAGATACAAATTTAAAGCCAACAAAATTGTTTCCGCTTGTCACTATGGACTTCTTCAATCTGTCAGCCTAATTGACAACAGCTTAAACTTTGTCATCAAATTTGTTATTTGACAGCAGAAACTGTTTTATTTATTCAACTTTATTTTCAATCATATGTATTTTGCCTTCCATAACATCAAATTTGTTTTCTGTTGTGGTAGTAATTTCCACTTGACTTGTTTTTCAGTCTTTTCTTGGTACTGACTTGATAGTCTGTCTTTTCTTGGCTCATTTTCATCTCCTCTTTGTTGGACCTGACAGCTCCTTATGTCTTTTCTAGGAATGCAGCAATGGAACCAGCTTTCGTAATTTCTCCTCCAACCCTTTTGTCCCAACATTCAATTCCATTTCTTATGCCAAAAATTGTTACATACGTGCAGGTTTAATGGATTGAATGCACACAGAATTGATGATAGCTTGATGAGGTTTATTTTCCCAGAAAAAACTTACAATTCTGGAATTTTTCAGACAAAAATATTTATACAGGTCTTCTCTAGTATGTCAGCACAATCAGTAGTCACCAATTTACACTTCTAAAAATATTAAGCATAAGGCAATGCAAAATGCATGTAAAAGCAAGGCTGGCATGGTGATCTTTGAATGTTCTGAACTCAACTGAAAACTGATGCTGTCTTAAATATAGTTTTCACCCATTTACGGAGAAATTGAGTACCTTTGATTTCTCAAAACTGTTGAAAGGCAGTTACAGTTATTGTAGGATTGGATGCAGTTACAATTACTTAGAGCTCATACAAAAGTGTTGCCAAATTGTTGTCAAGCATGGTGACTTTTGGTGATTTCTTGCCAAACCATTTACCTCAGTGTTAAATGGACTTACCATGTAATCCTATTTTTCTGGCGATGTTTCACTTTTTGATGCCATTCATTACATTGTACAAGAAATACTAGAATTTACATATAATTTCACTAAAATTATTTACATGTATACAAAATTTATAACAATATAAAATCCCCAAATTTTTTCTCACAACCCTCTCATAGAAGGCCACCTATGAAAATAAATGTCGTTTCTGAGGACATAGATGACTATCATTATTGTATATCATCAATAATTATATTTGCCAAAACAATCATTTATATAAAAGACTTAAATTTCCTGGGACTGTAGATGGTTGTCTTCAGTAAGTTTCACTATATATCATTAATATATTTAGTAATGTATTATTAATATATAAATTATTTAATAGATGTAAGTAAGGAAAATTATTAATTTCACTGTACTAGTAGGAGGTTATATTCTAAACTTCTTACTGATTTTTTGGGTTTAGAATTTCAACCACATAGCAGTTGATCTTTGCCAATAACTTTTTGATAACTTTTGAATCTACCAATCTGAAAATTGAACAAATTCCCTCTCTTTAAAATATGATATTCCTGTAATTGAGAACATCTATAACACATTATTAGTGCATATTACAACATTAATGAAGCAAGCTTATTATACAGTTTATTTTCTCAACTGTTCAGGTATTTAATTTTTTAATAGATTAAATAGTATTTGTATAATAGTTAAAAGACTACTTTGAGTCTCCCCCATCTAGATTTGACATGTTATTTTTGTATATATTCTACAATGATTTTTATAATCATTTAATATTTCTGTGGCATTAAAAAAGATTTATTCATAAAATTTCCTATTATATTAAGTCAGGAAATATTTAGTATGGTAATAGATGTTCACACTATTTTTTTTGTATGTTGATAGTTAGAGAGAAGTTAAAATAATGAAATACAATTTAATAATAACGTAACAATTAAGAGCCAAAGCCAATGCTAGTTTTTGTCATTTTTGGCTATTACTAAAAGTTTCCAATTACAGGGTTTGTAGCGGTTCTTACAAGTGTTTATAAGTCCTTATATTTGAAAATAAAATATAAAAGCCCTCATAGGTGCTTACTTTTTCGCTAAAGCACTTATTTTTTTGTTTTCAGTGCTGATTTTTTGCTGTAAGGCTTTTTTTTTTTTTTTTTACGAATGCAGATTTTTTTCCCCAGCCAAAACTAAATAAACAACTTTTCTTCCTTATATGGAACACCAGATATCAAAATCATTATTTAGCTGAAAAATCTAAAGAACGGCTACAATCTACCCACCTTCCCTTTTTACCAGTTACGCTCCACTATCCGGAATTTTCAGATATTCGGCAATTTCCGAGTATGCCGGTTAGTTAAGCTTTAACTGTTAAAGGATGACTGCATGAAGCAATTTCCTATCTTCTGATTCCAGAAAAGTTCCATTTTTTACTTAAATTACTTTGCTTGCAATATCTGTTAAGGGAAAACTGTTATACAGTAAAAATTTACAAAATGTTCAGAATTTTGATTTAAATTATTTAAATATTAATATGAGTGGAAAAATAAATTGTATTTATTTGTAGGTGCCAAGCGAATATAATAGATATTGCTTATTATTATTTTCTCTATTTTGAACTGAAATTTCATCATTAAATCTTGTAATATAATTTAGTTCTGCATAGTTTTTTTTTTCTCTCATTGTAAATTAATTCTGTAAATTGAACTGTTATTTAAAATATTAAAAAAAAAAAAAAAAAGGAATATAATTGTTTTCCATGGTTGAGTAATGCTCATTCTCTCTGAATAAATACTGAATTTCTCATATTTTAAATTACAAGTCTAATTTTTCTTCTTTAAACAAACGATATTGATTTTTCAATTTAATTTTCATCTTTTTGAAAATATATTTACTATAAAAAATGTTGAACTTATATATGTTATATAATCAAAATAAAAGTCCGAAGTGTCCGATTATTTTGTGAGCTACTGTATATTGTGATTCACTTATTTACCAAATTTTTCTGATTTATAGGATGTAACCAACATTTGCCAAGTTGCAGATCAACAACTATACCAACTTGTGGAATGGGCTAAACATATACCACATTTTAATGATCTACCTCTAGAAGACAGAACGATATTATTAAAATCTGGTAATTCTTTGTTATATTCTGGTGGGGAAAAAAAGTCACTGATTTTTAACATAAAAAATGTAACATTAATATCTTATGTGTCAATTCCTGAAATATGCAGCTATAGAAAGTTTCTACTAATTTGTGAGTTCGGAAACATGTAGTTCATAAAGTATTTCTCCCGCTTGCTTGGCGTGCGTTCGTGATGTAGCATGCTGGGTGGTAATTCCAGAGGTCCGTGGTTCAATTCCCTGCAAAGGTGTTGCTCATTTTTCACTTCTGCATCCAAAAAATACCTAATGTCTCTACAGTGGTGCTCGAACTAAAAGGGTGATGATTCTCCACACTCAGGATTTTTCAATTAGATCCCCTAAAAACCCCCAGTCACCCTTTAAAAGGGGGAGTATGTAAGGTATTTCTCCCTCTTTCTTGGCGTGCCTTCATGGTGTAGTGGTCTGCATACTGAGCTCGTATTCCAGAGGTCCATTTTTTCGGTGAAGGCGTTGCTCTTTTTCACTTCTCCTGCTTCCAACAAATCTCTTTCTGTTGGAAGAAACATTAATACATAAATGTACTTTCCCGAATTAATTCTTTGAATAAAATGCTTTTTGCAATTGAGGTATTATAGTCTTTACACTGATGTCGTATTTCAGATTTCCTTTCATTTATGCTTTTTAATTTTTTAAATTTATTTATTTAATATATGTTTTTATGTGTGTATATATATGTATATTATGAGTAAAATATTATAAATAAATAATATATATATGTTACTGTCAAAGTTTGAAATCCAGCATTCTATAGAATGCCTAGGCATTGTATATAATGCCTGAAACTAGCCGGCAATGTATGAAATAATCCCTATTTCACACATTTCCTAGGCACTCTATAGAATGCTAAATGACACTCCGGCAAAGTATGAAATGGCAGGGTAAGCCAAGCTCCTTGGTAGTCTGAGCCATTTTTCAAAATTTGAAATTTTTCGCAAGCCACAATTAAATACATATTTGAAAGGTATTAAAGAAATTTTTTACAGAAATTATATTTATTGAACACATATAAATAAAAGTACAAAATGTGTGTATTGAATTTAAATATTAAAAATTAAACACATTTATTTTACTTCTCTTGATAATTCTTTAAAATTTGGTGAATAATTGGTGACAGCACTTTTCAGTAATTCTTTGAGATACTGGTTAGTTAATACTGATCGGTGTTTGAATTTCACAAATTTTAAAGTGGAATAAAATGATTGACATAAGTACGTTGTTCCGAATATTGAAATAATTCGACAAGCAGCCTTTTTTAATTCAGGATACTTCGATTCTGGTACAAATTTCCATAATTCAGTAATCGGCATCGACTTATATTTTAATTATAGAGCTTGATCTTCTTACATCTCTATTAATTCTAATTCTCCAGATGCTTTTTGGGTCATAATTGTATTGGAAATGGAAAACTCATTTGAATTATTATTCAAATCAATCGAAAAAATCAAGAGACGATTTAAATATTTCAAGTCTTGAAATCTATTTGGAATTCGTAATATTCCATCTAGCTTTTTTATATATTCGTTGAGTTTTTCTGTTTAATATTTGTGAATTCAGTGGAACAAATTTTTAATTCGAGGAAATGACAAAATGTTTTATTTTTAATGTCCTTTTGAAAAAGCTGTAATTTAGATTGAAAACTAAATATACACTGTGAGAGGTCAGATATTATTTTATCTTTTCCCTGCCATTGTAAATTCAGTGTTTGTAAATGTTCCATGACATCAGTCAAAAACATTAAGTTTTGTAACCATTCGGCATCGTCTAATTCTGAATATGTTATTTCCTTTTCTTTTAGAAATGCAGCTATCGGGTCAAACAAATCTACAAATCGATTAATACGTTGTAGCTAGATAATCATCTAACAATGCAAAAGAAATTAATGTCATTTAGAAGTTAGAACTTGGTGCTTTAATTCTTCAAGGAAATTTTTGAAATGTCGTATGAATTGCTGCATTGCCATGCAAATGTAATTTACAATGATGTTTCCAGTATATTCGAGAAATTAATTATAAAGCTTATAAAAGCCGAGAACAAACAACTCATCTCAGTAGTAGCTGTAGTTCTAGCGAACTGTTTGTTTACTTAATGCTGTGATTGATTTGTAGCGATTTCGCTGTGAGATAGAATTAGTTCTCTGTTTTGAATTGACTTTTTGCTAAACGTTGACATTTTGTGATATTGTTAGAATATTTTTGAAGAAATATTTCAGCATTTTGATTTATCTCTTGTGGAAAGAATAAATTTTTGTTAACTTTTTAACGTTTAACCGTGTTTATTCCAGCCCTTTGTATTCAGTATGTCTATATCAAAACCAAGTGGTAGTAAAATTAAACGAAAAATCGCTGACGAACATAGAATATTCCAAGTAAAATGGGAATTAGAATATTTTGCTGTGAAATAAAAAGATAAAAATAATCTGCTTGATATGTAATAATACTATTAAGTACCAAAGTTATATAATATTAAACGTCATTACGAAACAACACAAATCGAAATATAACAATTACGAAGGATTAATGAGAGAAGAAAAGTTGAAAGAGCTCAAGTTAGGAGTGAAAAAGCAACAGTCCATGTTTAGTAAAGTATTGCAAGAAAGTGAAGCGGCGGTACATGCAAGCTACGTCTTGTCCGAGTTGATAGCTAAACATTCGAAGCCTTTTACTGACGGTGATTTCATCAAGGAATGCCTAATGAAAGCTGGAGAAATTGTTTGTCCTGGAATGGAAATGTCAAGGCTTTTCAATCAATTTCATTGTCTCGAAATACAGTTGCGGAAAAAGAGTTACTGATTTAGCCGCGAATTTAAGTGATCAGATCAAAGCAAAATCATCTAGTTTCGAAAGTTTCTCCATTGCCTGTGACGAGAGCACGGACATTAGTGGCAAAGCTCAATTAGCAGTGTTTCTTCGTTCTTGTGACAAGAATTTTAACATTTTTGAGGAATTACTGGAACTAATACCGATGCCTGGTACTACCACAGGAGAAAATATATTTACTTGTGTTTTTGGACTTCTGCAGAAATACAATCTACCTTTGGCAAAATTAAATTCTGTAGCTACAGATGGCGCTCCATCAATGACCGGAAAAAACAAGGGCTTAGTAGCATTACTAAGAAAAAAACTTAGTGAAATTCACGGTTCAAACATTCATCATATGCATTGTATTATACATCAAGAAGTTCTATGCAGGAAAGTAATAAATATGGAGAATGTTTTGTCATATATAAAAAAAGTTATAAATTTTATAAGATCTTGAGTTTTAAATCAGCGTCAATTCACTGCTTTCTTAAGTGAGTTAGGTAGTGAATATTCGGGTTTGTCCTACTATACCGAGGTACGTTGGTTATCTTGCTCCAAGATTCACAAACAATTCTTGGATTTGAAAGAAGAAATATGTCAGTTTTTAAAAACGAAAAATCAAGACGTAAGTTTGTTTTACAATCCAATATGGATACAAGATTTATCTTTCTTGGTTGATGTAACCAAACACTTAACTGATTTAAATTTATCGTGACAAGTAAAAGATCATATCATTACAAACATGTTTGACATAATTAAAGCATTCAAATGTCAATTAGTTCTTTGGGAAAAACAACTTAAAAATGAAGATTTGACGCACTTCCCGACGTGCAGCATGAACAAATCAAGTTTATATGATACTTGTTCGTATCAAAAGTACGCAGAAAAAATTGCAAATTTAACAACTGAATTTGAAACGAGGTTTAATGATTTTAGTTCCCTCGAAGACAAATTTTTTTTTGTTTTCTTCGATTTTCTCAATAAGTATTGACTCAGTACCCAGCCATATGCAAATGGAGGTGATCGAGATTCAATGCAACTCAAATTTGAAAGCAAATTCATTGAAGTGGGGTGTGCCTGAATTTTACAAATATTTACCAGCCAGGTTTGAAAAAATACTCGAAAATTCGCATATGAAATTATTTCCATGTTTGGTAGCACTTATCGGTGCGAGCAGCAGTTATTTTCAGTCATGAAAGGTAATAAGTCTCCTATTAGAAACCGTATTAATGATGCTCACCTTGGGTCAGCGTTGAAAGTTATCACTGCAAACAAAATTTTCTCCCGAAATAGGAAAGATAATAGCAGAGAAGAGATGTCAAGTATCAGGACGTAAACATTAAATTTTTCTTGTTCTTTTCTATATAAATATATATATATATGTTTATTATTGTATTATTCAAAATAAATCTACATTTCTATGAATATTGATTTTTTTTTTTTTTCGGCCCGCTTAAAGTTAAACCTTGTTTGTTTGGCCCAAGTGTACCTATGAGTTTGACATCCCTGATGTAGATCGTCATTCATCGAGAAGCAATCGGCTGGACAAGGCCTTGACTCCCGTATGTTTCTCATAATTCATGACACAGTCGAAGGGGAAGAGAATCCGATGAACGGAACTGTTACGCCACTGTTTATGTTTGTTCACACAGTTTTCGATGAGTCATACCATTCTTAACGTGGATAGAAAAGAAATTTGTTACAACGTTGCACTTAGTTTTTGATATTTGTTTTCAGTAATTTAAAAGACATTTTGAAACACATACGGAATGATAATAATTTTTTAAAATATAATACAAAAATGAAAGGGGAACTTGGGTACATTTATCGAGAGCCACCAATAATCCTTCAAAGAGCCGCATGTGGCTCGCGAGCCGCAGATTGGCCACCTCCGATGAAATACATTCCTGATTCATATAGAAGAACTGAAACTACTTACCAGAAGTTAGTAAATGACTTAAAAAAGCCAAAATGTCTACTGAGAAGGAACCATGGGACTGCCCACCACTGAATCGCTGGGATGTGATCTTTGTGGAAAACAAAAGTGCATTCATTTATCCTATTAAAAGAAAGCAACCGTACTGTACAGTATTACGTCACGGACGCTGAGTTATATCCTGTATTTCATGAGAACTCATTTGAGTACTGCATATGGATGACGTCACAGAATGTTGAAAGAATTTTCAACCAAGTACAAAAACGTTACATGTAATGATATTGAAGTGCAGAACCATCTTTATGAGCCCTGCCAGAAAAAAAAAGAGTATTATAAAGGGCATTTATGTGAAACTTATGATTGTTTTTTAATTTAATTTCCGTTGTTAGTTAGATTCTATTGGTTCCCAGGATTAGTCAGATAGAAAATATAAACTTATTATGTTGTATCAAGATCATCCCACTTCTTTGTTTACATATTTTGAATAACAGGTTTTTCAATGGCACTCTTTCATTAACACATTATGAGCGGGAGTGAGTATTTGTACCCGTTTTGCAGATTGCCACTTATAAGCGGGACAGGTACTAGTACCCGTTCCACGGATTGCCGTTTAAAAGCGGGGCAGGTATTAGTACCGTTTAAAATCACCACTTTTAAGTGACACAAGGGAAATATAATGTTTCATATGATGTATGGATTGGTATGTTTTTATTAGAACAAATTTTTAACTTAGTCAACTTATTTGTAATCAGCTTGTTCAAATATCTGTTATGTGCTGAGACATCTACATATCCATCAACACATTAGTTGAGAACACTGCATTTATGAAGTTTTCATATTACATCATATGTTACTATTATTCATATTACCGCTAAGCAGCATTGTTGCATATGTTAGATAGACCGCACAAAATGTGTTAATTTTTCAAAATAACATTTGTATTTTTGAGGAATGAACGTCTTTTAAATAATAGCCTTATCATAAATGTTTTTTTCATACTTTGCTTAAAGAGCATTTGTCATTTTATAGAATGCATAGGGATTATATGCAATGTCTAGGGAAAGTATATAATAATTCTCCTGTTTCATACTATGTTATATATGATATCATACTTTGCCTAAAAACGTCCGGCATTTCATATTTTGCCGGAAACATATATATAGAATGCTGGCATTTCATACTTTATGCCGAAAACATATATATATTATTATCAATTTTGTTAATTTTTTGTTATTTTTTGAATTCTTATTGTGCTCAAAATGCATAAATACTTTTTCACAATTTACCAGCTGTATAGAATTTTTCATGTAAATTGTGTAAGATATAATATGCTAATATTTCATAAGTTGTATCATGATGTATTTGCAGGCTGGAATGAGCTTTTAATTGCTTCCTTTTGCCATAAATCTGTTGGTGTGAAGGATGGTATAGTGCTTGCTTCTGGACATATTGTGCACCGCAACAGTGCTCACAATGCTGGTGTGGGAACCATTTTTGAGAGACTGCTGTCAGAATTGGTGATTAAGATGAGGGAAATGAAGATGGATAAAACTGAACTTGGTTGTCTTAAAGCAATCATTCTTTTCAATCCAGGTATTTAGTTTTTTTTTTAAAAAATATTAAAAAATTTTCAACATATAGTGTTAATAATGCTTTTAGAACTATTCCAAGATCTTCCTTGTTGCATGTTGCTGCAAACAGTCTCTACAGTCAAGGTCAAAATTGTTTCTGTGACATGCTGAATTCATTCAAACTTGCAATCTGTGCACTTTTGATAATTAAACTTGCATCTTTAGCCAAAACATTTTTTTTAATGTGTATGTGGCTTATGTACATATTTTGATTCATTTGTCTAGTTTGCAAATCCTAATATGATTAAAATATTAGTATCAAAATTCATTTAATTTAATTTTTTTTTTTTTTTTTTACTACAAATTAGTAGTTTATGTTCATAATATTAACTACAAACCAGTGCTTCTTGTTTCAATATTATTACTTCTAGCCTGAATGCTAGTTGTTCCACCTAAATTCAAATCCCAGTGAATAGATTTTTCTTAATTTTTCTCATGTGTAGCATGATTACAAGCCAGTTTCCCCATAGAAACTTCTTCACAGTGTTCTTCTTTCTTTTAGGCAGAGTTCTCGGGTGCTTTGCCATAATATAAGAAATTCAATTATCTGGAATGGCTATCTAGTAGCTGATCAAGAAGAAAATGTTTCTTGCTAGTGATAAAAGTCTACACACATATGCCTATATATTGAATTTGAAATTTTCCCATCAACCACCTCAGGAGTAAAATAGGAAATGTTGGCAAAATGTGCGACATAAGGCCATTAATGGATACACTGCATTTTCATATTTCTCTTTTTATGCTGTGTAATAATTTATTAATTTTTGTTGTTAAATCAACATAAAAATATTTGATCCATTTTGTTTCTGATCAACAAAACATTTCCAGCTCTTTCACCACTTACAAAACTAATTACGAGCCACATGATTTGAATAATTTTTAGGTTAATCATTTATGCAATTTTTTAGATTCTGATGCGCATACTCAAACCACTGAGACTCTGAGGTGGGGCAAAATGGTGTAGTAAGAAGCACAATGGAACTGCACATTATTACTCATATTTTAATGAATTTATATGGTACCGAATTGACAGTATTTTAAATACTATTATAGTTTTTGACTGTCAGAATAACTGGCATGAGTTTTAATGAATTTGTTTGTCAAATAATCTCGAAGCTTGGTCTTATATTTTTTAAAACTTTTTGTGTACTATGTCCATAACTTTTAGCTATTAATTATATGATTATATAAAAAGCAATCTGTGATTATCTAATCAAAAAAGGGTCATCTATTTCTTCAAAATTCCACTAGAATGATCAGCACAAATTTGGCAGGATTTCTGCCATCTTTTATGACTGATGAGAACTAGCTTTCACAGTTGCTGGCAAATTAGTTTAGTATATATTGGACATATATTGTTTTTAGTTATTTTTGAATCATGTCCAGGCAAGATAAAGTCTATGCATACTATCATTGTTTGAAACTGAAGGATGAAGAATAGAAAACATCTAGAAACAGCATTTATGATTGTGTGTTTGCAAACACACCACTGTGTAAAGCATGAACCCTCTGATTATAATCTGCCCACCCTCATGCATAGCTGATTCTCAGAGTGTTATCATTTGAAAAGCACAAGGTCTTTAAAGTACCTTTTAAATTGCATAATTTTATTATTAGTACATTGAGTGATTTAAAACACACTCCAGTTTTAAATCTTTATTTAATATAATAATAATAAATCCAAATGATACGTTTTATGAACATTCACAGTTTTGTTGTGTTGAATGAAATTTATTTCTAATGTTGTGTATTATATGATGTTCTGTTGCTTTAAAAATAATAATGGTAAATTGTGGGAGACGTTAGGTTTAATTTCAAAATTTTCAGATTGTAATATTTTACTTTTTTATTTGTTTTGGAATATTCTGCAACAACTCCTAGTGGAAAAGAAGTAAAATTCTATATCCTTTTCTATACAGAAATAATATCTCAGTGCATGTTTCGGTGATGGGTTTTTTTATGTCACATAATATTCCTTGCTTATAATATGCAGACTGCATAATGCTGAAATGTATAAGCGGAATAGAAATCCATAAATTTAGTATGAAACCAGAATTTTCTGACCCATGTGTGTAATTTATTAATGATTCTAAATAATACTTTATAAGTGACTAAACTTTTTTAAATATGGTTCCCCCAAATTCCTTAATCATAGCAGCTCTTTGAATTAATTTATAAAGTATTTTCCGTCATGGTAGTACACTTGTTTCATATTTGAGAGGTCCAGGTTCGAGTCCCGGCAAGGGCTTTTCACATCTCCTCCTTCAAAATACCTTAATGTCTCTATGGTGGCACCCGAATTCAATAGTGACAAATGATAATTCTTTACCACCAGGTGAAGGATTATCGTCTGTCACCATTTAATTCAGGATTTGACAATTGGGTCTTCTAATCCCTAGTCGCCATTTAAAAGGGGGAGTGTGTGATATTTTCTATTTCCTTCCAGCATGCTTTTGTGGTGTAACGGTAGCGCATTCAATGTGCATTTGAGAGGTTCAGGTTCGAGCCCTGGCGAGGGCATTGTACATTTTTCAGGTCTCCAGCATTAAAAAAAAAAACCCTCTATCTGCAAATTAATGAAGTGCTTTCTGAAGAAACTGTACAGTCAAAAGTCATTAATCCGGACTCGTTGGGACTTCGGCGATTCCGGATTATCGATTTTTCCGGATTATAGATCATCAGTTTAAATCTGGTAAGATGGCATGCAGAAATTATAAAATTAAAAATATGAAACCGTAATTTATGAAATAAAGAACAATTATGATCAAAAGGGTATCAAAATTTACAAAAGAAAAAGCTTAATATTTATTTGTTTACTTTATTAAACATTTCTTTCAATGTAAGTTGTTTAAGTTGCTTCGTTTTATTCCGCTGTTCAAGTTCTATAATTGCTGTGTCGAGAATACCGACTAATTTGTCAATCGAAATTTTTTCGTTTTCAATAACCTCTGTGTCACTTTCTTCACTATCGGAAGCGAGTTACAATGACGAGGAATTTGATTTAAATAATATCAAAGACGGAGTACATTGAGATGAAATACTACATTTAGTAAGAAATTATAAGCCGAATAAAATAAAAATATCTGCCCTGAAGATAAGGATAGTGCTGACAGATCAACTTCCAGTTCATTGCAAGATTTCCCCCTTCCCCCCCAGAGCAGCATGAAATTGATAAACAGATTTCAGAATGGTTAGAGAAACAAAGGATATATCTTTATCCATTTTTTGCTGCAATTCCACTTTTTGTTTGATGGACATCGAAACATACTTTCGCTTTGTAGATCCTTTGGGAGCTTCAGCATCGGAAATTCTATTTGACATATTCGAAAGTTCAAGCTTACTTTTATAAAATTGCTCTAGAACTGAACTACTTTATTAAATAAACTACTATGATGAATTACAAAAGTGGTAAATATGAAAATAACATAGGAGCTAGATAATTCCATAGGAGATAGCACAGTCCAAACAGAGAGCTCATGAGAGAAGTTACGAAGTCCTTGTAATTCACATCTCGTGGAACAAGTTTAAAGTTTACACGAACAATTGCTGATCGCTATTGCCAATTTACCCTTTGACCACCATATCCACCTTATGGTGTCCAAAGGCGTAAGCTTTGCATCTGGAATTTACGCACGTCTGCTTCTGTTCACATCTGGAGCTCGACTTTTTTACTCTCTGCGCTTCTAGCAAACTCGAGTGTCGTTGGTTATTAATGAGTATACCTTCTCACATATGTTCAGCCTTTCCTAACCGAGATATGTGACCAGATGTCTGTTGTGTGGACATCACCATGATCATGGGGCAAACTGCAAAAACAAACAAAAAAAGGTTACTGTTCTGTTATCAGGACCAGGTTTAGAAATGTATGTATGTATGTAGGTACAAATGTATGTGTTTATACATAAGCACATAAATGAAAACACATGTTCGTACATTTCTGAATCCGGTCTCGTTAAGAGAACAGAACCAAAAAAAGTGTCAGGTTCTTAGATTTGAGATGATACAATACACTCATTAATCACTTCACCATGGCTTCTTATGATCAATTGTAGTGGATGTCTTACTAGGTCCATCACGGCATCCTACTTTCTCAACTTCATGTCTATTATTTAGTTTGATAGATTGTAACTTTGTTAAGTGCATGAAATTTAGATTGTAATTTCAACCTGATCCTGTACTGAGTTCTCTGAATGACTCCTAAACCACCAATCTTATACAGTCTGGGTTTCTTTCTTCTCTTATTTTATTTTATGCTTGTTGTGGTTGTACTATTCATTATTCTTTGCACATCTGGAACATATTTAAACCATTTTGTCAAATCTTCATGTGCAGCTTTGACAAAACATCAATTAAAATCCTATGGATTCACTCAAGTTTATCCATTCTCTCATGGTACACTGGTAGTAAATTTTGATATGCTGTATTCCTTCTTTGGTGCAATAAGTTTCAAATTCTTTTGATGTAAATGCACTACCTCAGTCAGAAATGATTCTGGGGGAATTTCCAAGTACAGTCTGATGTTGCTTTGATTTTGCAATATCTTCCTGCATAGGTAGAGATTTCACTGGCTAGAACAGAGTAAACTTCATGAAAGTGACAGCTGCAGTGAAAATACATTGGTATTGTTTGTTTGTTAATGAAAGTGGTCCAAAGTCGACACGTACTTAATGGAACGTTTTCTTTTGGTATTAGATTAAGAAAGTCTTCTGCTTTTCCTTGTTTCTTGTTGTATAATATATGCTGTACGCAGTTTGCAGTTATCTTTTCAACTTTGCTTTTCAGTCTAGGAATACAGAATTCTTGCTGTACAGCATTTGCAGTTTTCCCTACAGCAAAATGGCTTCTTTGATGTACAAAAAAAAAGTGGGGACAGTGCTATATCTCCCGTTCTACTGAGCCAATTGACAAAATTCAAATTTTGTTTTTCATGTCTCGAATGTGCGATTTAGGATATATATTAGA